AGGTGAGTACTATTATGATCCATCAATCACTTGAGTAGATTTAAAAAAAAAAAAAAATCTATAACTAACAGTTTATCAAAAGTTCTAATAAGGAATATGAATTTTTTTTTGTTACTTCAAGATACAGTTGGCCAATACTTTTTTAATGATAATTTTTTTAGAAATTGTTATATACACCCGAATGCACGGTGCACCCAAGGATATTGTTTGCTCATTTCGATGATTATTGCTCATTTCATCATTAAATGATCAAAAAAATACCCTTTGATGCACCGTGCACCTGACATATATATATATATATATATATATATATATATATATATATATATATATATATATATATATATATATATATATATATATATATATATATATATATATATATATATATATATATATATATATATATATATATATATACTAAATAAATGGATAATAAACGAATTTATACATGGAATCAGGGTATATACATTGTCAATCCAAAAGAGATTAACAAGTTGGAAGAGACAAACAAACAAAATTAAAACCCAACAATCTAGATAGTGGTAAATAGCTGAACCTTCAAGCTTGAAATTTATTAAGAATGCAATGAATGAATGCACAATATGCCAATATGTACTGTTACTGTCTCTCACTTTGTAAACAGCTTCAATATTGTTTCCTCCTTGCTACACTTGTTGTCTCTACTCGGTGAATTTTCCAACTTACAACTCTACGATTTAAAATTATGTCCACCTATATATGCATAGATTGGTTTGTTTCAAAAGAGGGAGATTATTGGTTTGGGGTAATCTTTTAAGGATGAAATATAATGAGTATTTAGGATGCGGTCTCTTCAACCTAAAAAAAAAATAAAATGATTTTGGATTCAATAAGTTTACACTCTTGTAATCAGGGCCAATAAATTCAAATTAAGTTTAATTATTTTAAATAAGTTCCAACTAAATAGGATTTAATCGGGTATAACAAATTTTAATCAGATCCAATAATAAGTAGTTAGGATCATGTCAAGACCAATAAGGTAAGGACCAGATAACACACTCTTAATAATGTTATTTTCTTTGTTCTTTTTTATTTGTCTTATTTAGAATAATCCATTTAAACGAGAGAAACTTTGATCACAAATTATATATTCATCATCAATTTATATATATACAAATTCATGCAAGATCTTACAACTTATTAATTAAAATTGTCTTAATATTAATTTAGCTTAAAAAAAATATCATTTTTTATAATGAACATTTTATAACACAAAGTCGAATAATACTCAAATGCGTGTGTACATGAAAACCTATGCAAATTGCAAAATAGTCAAATAGAGCAAGTAAAAAAGAGCGGAGTGAGTATAACTCGATCGATTAATTTCGATCTCATGCATGCTTTATTATCGCAGTACATTTGAAACCTTTATTACAACATTACTCCACGGTTGAGTAACTCTGCATGCATCTATCATATAAGGGTATGAAATAACACAATTAATATTCCTGCTTACTGATGAAGCTGCATGTCTACTTAATTTCACGCACAAAAAACACCAAAAGAAGAAAAAAAAAAAAGAACCAAAAAAAGGGCAATGACTTATACGTACTACTGTACTAGATCGCAATTATATGCATGAGTGACTGAAAAGGTTAAGTTAGGCTGTTTTTCTATACCAAATTTCAACGATAAATGAAATATCATACGATAATGTTAGAAAGTCCTTGACTTTTATGCAATGGCCCATGTGAAGGTCGATCGAAGGACCTAGATGACCTAGACAAATCATATACATTTACAAAATTATTATTATCATAGCTTATCTTCTTGTTTAATTGAGGTGATAGATGAATCAATATCTTAATTAGCTGTTCTTCCTGTCAAACAAAAAAAAAATGTTCATTTTGTACGGAATAATAGTGGGTAACGAATGATGATAATAATAGGAATTTGTAAAGAAAGTTTGATCATGTCTTTGCCTATTGGTTGTACTTGTTAACTTGTGATTTTAGATCATAAGATTGTACAATCAATTAATTGAATTTAGCTTAACTAAACGATCCGAAATAAATGAAGACAAAATTGTAGTCTGGTTTCCTTTATAATTTGATGAAGAAATTTTCTAAATTAGTTTAAACATTTGAAAAACATCAAAAAGAAATGGAAGGAATATAACACTATCGGACCGTGTCAATAAGGCACGGGCATGACTTTCACTTGCTTACTATAGTTCGTATCCAGGAAGTCAGCAACGCCATGCATTGAAAAATCTAAGCCTAGTAATGTTGGGCATGCAAACCGTAGGTAAACAATGTTAATATGTTCTCACATGTAAATAAAAATGTTCTCTATCACATGTACATAGTCACATATACCTTTGCCTTTTGGTTTTTGACTTTTAAACAACCACATTGGCTGTGGCACATACACATTATATTTCATGGTCTCCAGCTGGATGCCTGAATTAGTTTTAACAACTTAATTTCTAAAAAATGTCTTTTATTATTGAGTAAACAAATTTTGATTTTTCTTAGTACTTTATGCATGTATTCATTAGTGGTGCAAAAATATTCATACCCTCATACTTGTAGCATTGCTTGTGTTCGTATCCATATCCATAATCCCTACTACAAATTTTTTATATACAGTCGAGTGAACAATGCATCCAAATAATCTAAGGTTTTCTTTTGCTCTTCACTTAATAATTAAATGAACAATAATCACCCGAATGAAAAAAAAATAGGAAAATTTAACAACAAACCAATCTTTACTCCATTCTTCTAAAATGGACCAACCTTGAAATCTTCTGAAAATAAACACAAGTTTTTATTTTTTTTTCTTCCGTAGCAAACCCAAATGACTTGTGACCTGAACAACCAGTCATGTTTTTTTTATTTTCTTATTTTCATTTAATTATCTTTTTAAATTAAAAAATTAGCAAAATAAAAAAATCAAAAAACAAATAAACAAACAAAAAACTCTGACCGCCGCCAGCCCTCCTCCCCCACCCACTGCTAGCCACTCCTCCCTCCCTTCCCCTACCGACACCCGGCGCTCAACCCACCCCCAGGCACCCCACGCCCTCCATTTCGGCCTTTCCTCCTCTTCTTCTTCCACCCAAAATCACTAAAAGGGTGATTTGCGATTTGATATGTTTTGTGATGATAGAGAACTGCAGCGGTGATGCCGGCTGATATGGTGGCCGAAAATCTGCAGCGGTCGACGAGGGTGAACTGCAGCGTTTGCTGGCTGCTTTTGGTGCGTGCAAGGGAGCATCCAACGTGTTTGGTGGTTGAGGGAATTTGGAGGTAATTGAAGGTGAGAGAGCAACTGGGCTGGGTTAGGTGGTTGATGCAGGCTGCTTTGTTTTGGTGTGGTGGAGTGCAGGGAGCATGGGAGTTGCATGGGTTTTTGTGTGTTAAGGTGCTGCTTGCGGTTGGGCCTCAGCCGTTGATAGGCCGGGGGGTGGCTAGTGGGGAGTGGGGCTGGCAGTGGTGGGGGAAAGTGAAGGTGTTTTTTTTTTTTTTTTTTTATAAATTTGATTTTATAAATTAAAATGAATAATTTTTGTTAATTATCAAAATATTAAAAAAAAAATTAACCAATAAAGACATGACACGTGGATTGCAACCTGGTATAACAAGTCAAGTGACATTCTAGGTTTACTACGGGAGAAACAATATAAACTTGTGTTTATTTTGGGAAAATTTAAAGGTTGATCTATTTTGGGAGAATGGAGCAAAGGTTAGTTTGTTAATGTTAAATTTTCCAAAAATATATCCTTAAATGCACCCTGCACTCAAATGTAGGGGTGTTCATAAATCAGTCTGGCGGACCTAAAAAATGGACCGGACCAGACCGAATTAATCGGTCCGATCTTTGGATCTAGAAATTTATTTTTTCGGTCTTCGACCCGGTCCGGTCCAAAACCCTATAAAAACCGATCTTGGACCGGACTGATTTTTTTGTTTAAAATTATGGGTGAAACCTTAAATAATGGTTAAGATTATCCTTAATAAACTTAGAAAACTTTAATTTTATGAGTTTTTTAGTGCTAAACATAAAAAAAAGCCGTTAAAATATAGTTTTTCCTTTACGTTTTCGACTTTTCCATAAAATTATTAAAAATTTAGATTTTTTTTAAAAAAATTCTTAAATCGGTCCAAAGCAGTCCAATACAGGGTTCGGACCGATTCTTTCGGTCCGGTTTGAGTTCGGTCCCAGCTTAATCGATCCGGTCTTCGATTCTTAAAATTCTAATTTTCGATCTTCGGTCTAGTTCGATCTGACCTGGGATCGATGAACAGCTCTACTTAGATACATATGACAATCTTTCACGGAGCCTAGTTACAGTGTTACACATCATGTAGCTAGCTCGTTGTGGAGTACAATTGCACTATAACTATTCCACATTGTTTAGTTAAATCACTTAAATGCAATAAAATTGAATTGAAATGAATCCCTTTACGAAGTAATAATAGCTAATGCATGGGTAATTAGCCAATCGAGTTGAAAGCTTCAGAATCAGTAGTGAAGTGATAACACACTAGTTTTTGTACTAGTGAATTACTACATGTGAGAAAAATCATAGTAGATGGGTGTTTGGTAGATGGGAATTGAGTGTGGGAATGAGACTTTTAATCCCAAATAGAAATAAATCTCTTGTTTGTTAAATTGAATTGGGAATACAAAAGGGAATGAAATTGAGAATAAATGGGGTGAATTCCCACCAATTTATTACTTGGGAGGATAGGTAATAAATGGGTGGGAATGAGAATAAGTGAAAAGTGACATTTTTGCCAATGAAAAGAATGGAGGAGAAAGATTAGTAAGGGTAATTTTGTATTTTTGTTATTTATTTGCCATTTATTCTCATCCTCAACCCAAACAAAGTATTATCATATTTTTATATATTCTCAACAATTAATTCCCAATCTCATTGCCACATTTTAATCCCCAAACTCTCATTCTCACATTGCAAACGGCCGCTAGTAGTAAACTACTGTAAAATCAGACCCTTAATTTCACAGCAAATGAGAGGTGCACAATGTTAATGGCCACCACCATACCCACACCCATTCTCTGTAACTTTCTCTTTCTTTTGTGCAATGAATGCAACAATCTCAATTCAATTTCACCTGCATTTGTCGCTTCCATTTCCGTCTTTTAAAACTTCTTCCTATTGAACGGTAATTGTTTCAAAAAAAAAAAAAAAAAAAAAAGAAAAGAAAAAAAAATCAAAACAGGAAGACGAACCAACAGTGGAACTCCACAAACCAGCCACATGCTGTATCTCTTTCACTATAAATACCCATTTAACTGATCTTGCCTTTTCTTTCTTCTGTCTTTGTCACTTACTATCTTTCCACTTCACACTCTATAGTTGCCAGAATTTTGAAGATTTTTCTGGGTTTGTTTTTGTTTGTTTTCATGTGTTTTTGGGGTCTAATTCTGGGTTTTTGGATTGTTTGAATTTGATCAAGAAATGGGTACAATTGAGAAAGATCAAACTGCGGTGGCTGCTGCGGCGGCGAAAGAGGACAGAAGTGGGTTTACCCCTCAAACACTCCGTCAAATTCTGCTTGTTTCTGCTGGTGCTAGTCACTCTGTTGCTCTTCTTTGTAAGACCCTTCCGTCCAATTTTGGGGTTTACTCCCTTTTTATTTGGGTACTTTTGCATCTTGATGATTTGATTTTTTATTATATGTTTATTGTGGTGCTGCTATTTTTGCTTAATTTTTCCTGGGGTTGTTTGATTATTGTTTGGTGTTAAAAATTATGGTAATAGATTGAAAAAAAGGTTGATTGCTTTATATGTGGGATAATCTTTGGTTAAATTGTGTACTCAATTACTGTATAATTGTATCTTGTTCAGGTCAATTTCTTCTAAATTGGCAATTATTTGGTTCAAGACTTCAAGTTGATGGCACCTTGCTGAATTGTTAGTAGAACTTGGTAAAAATTTATGAAATTTTGGTAGCCAAAACCTAGATTTGTATTGGTCCATTGTACATCACCGACAGGTGTACAAGTGTTTGATCCCGGATACTTTTTATAGCTATGTATGAACTTCGGACGGTTGAAGTGGAATTTGTGGTGGATAGGTGGTTTATGGTGGTGCTGTGGTGGTGCGTGTGACGATGTTCGGGTCATGGGGTGTTCCTTAGGGCTGGAGGGATTTATTTTCATAGGATTGGACCTTGGCACCTCCTAGGATTGGGGTAGCTTGTAATTTAGAAGAAAACCATAATTCAAGTTTCAGGTATGATTAGTTAGATTCCTAATACATTGTTGTCAATTTGATAGTTGACACTGGATTTTTCCTTCTTCCGGTTTGTATGAATTATGAAGATACTTGGGATATTTTTCGATGGTGTGGATGGTAGACTTCTCAAGCTAGTCTGAGGTTGCGTTTGGGTTGTTAACCTATCTTTTTCAAGGTTTGATCATCTTTAGTGCAAATTATTCCGGTTAAGGTAACCTAATTAAATTTCTACCTAAAGTTGTTAACCACCCTGCCACATTTAGGATCACCAACAGTTTTAAATGCTTGTTGGTTTGATCTTGATGATACATCCTCAACTAACTAGAATTATTCGTTAATAACTAGAGTGTGGACTGGTTTTGCAAATTATTCCGGTTAAGGTAACCTAATTAAATTTCTACCTAAAGTTGTTAACCACCCTGCCACATTTAGGATCACCAACAGTTTTAAATGCTTGTTGGTTTGATCTTGATGATACATCCTCAACTAACTAGAATTATTCGTTAATAACTAGAGTGTGGACTGGTTTTGTTAGCATACGCTCTGTATATGTTCTCTTTTATAATATTTTTAGACTTGATCAATTTCTAATGTATAGCTCATATGACCCTGATTTTTCGTTGCTAACCTTAGTTAAACTGGAGTTTAGGCTTTACAATTGTGCTCAAAGCCTCAAAACTCTAAATTTGGAGTCTGCTTCAGTTGGGACACTCTTTGACACATTTAATTACCTATATTTGAGAGATTGTAATAAAATTATAGAAGGTAGAAAGGGGAAAGTAATTACCCTTGTGGCTTTGCCTTAAAAAGTAGGGTGTGGTGTGGAAAGTAATCACCTTTGTGGCTTTGCCTTGAAAATAGGGTTTGTTTTGTACAAAAACATGCAATCTTATGTTACATTCATAAAAAATAAAAATAAAAAAATATCAAGCTCAACTAGTGAGGAATGACCATCAAAGAATTGGAAAATTAATGCTTTGGATTTTTCAAAACTAAATCATTCTTGTAATCTTATGAACTCATGTATTGTTCACATCTTAACTTTTGGTTCATATATTAGCTCAGCACAGTTTTGGTGCATGGCATTTAAATCATGTGAATTTTATTATTTATTGACTTGTGACTTATGTTGGTTTGTACTGCATTCAGCTGGAAATGTGGTTTGCTCTTGGGGAAGAGGTGAGGATGGACAATTAGGCCATGGAGATGCTGAAGATCGATTTTCACCAGTGCAATTAAGCGCATTGGATGGGCACGATGTTAACTCCATTACTTGTGGAGCTGATCATACCCTTGCATATTCTGAGCCACGTGTGCAAGTCTACAGTTGGGGATGGTATGTTCTCCGACTTCTCCCATTTGTCGTGCCATCTCCATTTTGTTTTATTTTTTGATATCTTTTTAAGTTTCTAGGTCCTATTGCAATTTCAAGTATTGCTGGAAGTATAGAAATTAAATCGATGCATATTTTCAGGGGTGATTTTGGAAGATTAGGTCATGGAAACTCTACCGATCTATTCATTCCTCATCCAATCAAGACATTAGATGGTGTCAAGATCAAGCAGATTGCTTGTGGAGACAGTCACTGTTTGGCAGTCACTATGGATGGGGAGGTAGCAAGGTTAGTTGTGTATATCTTTTTGCTCTTCCTTTCATAAGAATAAAAATTGATAAGAGCGTGCACAACCTTACCAATTTTTCATTGAGTTAGCAAGGTGCTTGAAAAACTATTGCTCTTTCCCATTAATGATACAGAATTTGTTACAATCAGAGTGGTGTCGTCAAGTTGCTTATTTTCCGTTGATTTGTCAAACTAAGGACTAATGCTGCTCTCTCACACACATTCACACACTCAGAGATGTGAGCTGTGTCATTTGCTATTGATAAATCCTCACTCGACACATTACACATGTGTGATAATCTTCATGCTACAACCAATCCCTTAGGCGTCCTAATCCTTTTCTAATTTTAATATATAGAAATTTGTGCGAGTTTGAGCATTTAGTATATAATGAGTTTAAGGATATATTATACCGACAAGCAAATCTGTTACTCTAGGATATTTGTAATTGACTAATATATCACCTGCTTGTGTCTTTAATTAATTGAAGTTGGGGAAGGAACCAAAATGGCCAGCTTGGTATTGGAACTGCTGAGGATTCACTTATCCCACAAAAGATTCAAGCCTTCCAGGTACAGATAATTTTTCCAATGAACTGCACTTTTCATATATTAAACTTCTGATTTTTTGTAAGAAGGGCATGATGTGATACATTTTAGATAAAATTGGTTTCTGACTTGATAAATTGTAGATATATTATTATTATTATTTTTTTTTTTTTGAGAAAAGATATATTATTATTTTGTTGTTTCTGAATTTTGTACCTTTTAATTATTTCCAGGGAATACCTGTGAAAATGGTAGCTGCTGGTGCTGAGCATAGTGCTGCTGTCACGGAATCTGGTGAGGTGTATGGCTGGGGATGGGGCCGGTACGGAAATTTGGGGTTAGGTGACAGAAAGGATCGCTTAGTTCCCGAGAGATCTTCGTCGATTGATGTATGCTAAAAACTTTGTGACCTTTACTTTTATCTCGCAATTACTTGCAAGCTCTAATTATTTTTAATGAAGTAATGAGTGTTCTTTTTTTCCTTTGCCCAAAAGTCTTATATAAACTCTATATTGAATTTGCTGTCAGATGATTCAAAATTCTTCTTGAACTTGCTTGCTAACAATTGGATGAACATTTTCTTTAGTTTTTTTTTCTTTTTTTTTTTTCTTTTTTTTTTTTTTTAAAAATCAGAATCTAATATTAGGAAGGTGTTAGTAGCTGTCCGATGATGCAGATCACTTGAGACTTGAGAGAGTAGAGACATGCAACTTTGTCTTTATGACCATAGAATTAAGGTCAAACAAATACAGTGAATGATTCATTTAACTATCTTGCTGATGGCAATGTCATAAGTTTATTCTTCATACCTGATTGTTCAACAATGGTTTATACATTACATTTTAATGAATCAATGACATAAAGATGGGAATAAGCTAGAAGTTTAAAAAATTTTCCACCAGAATTTGGATGGGGCTAACTCTGTTTGCCATTAGTTGTTGCCTCCAGCCAGTTGCCGCCTTGATGGCTTCAATCTATCTCCGGTCCTAGGGTTTTTTTTTTATCTAATTACATGACTAAACTTGAACACTCGCTTTTCTGTCTGCGTCTCTCCTATTATGTGGATAGTAAAACTTCCTGGGAAGTTCTAATTCCCAAGTTTTTTCCAACCAAACAACACCATCTTCTTCTACTTCCTAGGAATTGCCAATTCCTGTGGTTTCTTTTGTCAACGAAACAAGCACCAAGTGTGTTGCGGAAAAGAATGGGGGAGGATGGGAGTCTCTGATTGGCCTTTTTCTTTATCCTTTGGCATTCAGTTTCAGCTTATTAACTTTGGAAATTTCTTGCATATATTATTGATGGGGCACTCGCCTGTTTAAGACACCTGATCTGAATTATTCAACTTCTGATGATGGTTTTCAATTCTCATTTGAATGAACATGAAATTTTATCCTTGAAATTATTTGATACCGAATAGAGATAATATGCTACTCACTTGCTCTATGCAGTTGATGGGGGTAGCCTTGTGTTTTTTATACAATATTGGTGTTTGGAAATTTTTTGTAACATTAAATGCTCTCTTTTGTCATTACCATCTTTGACACCCAAACTCAATCAATTAATGTTGCAGGGTATAAAAATGATTCAAGTTGCATGTGGATGGAGGCATACAATAACTGTTACCTCTTCTGGCAGTATATACACTTACGGATGGAGTAAATATGGTCAGCTGGGGCATGGAGATTTCGAAGATCATTTAACTCCATATAAGTTGGAAGCTCTAAGTGGTCAAATCATTTCTCAGGTTACATGTATTGTTTCACTGCTTGTTTCTGCTTTACATTATTGTTAAACCTACCTTTAGTATTTGCATATGTGTTTTTAGGGAGTTGGCCTGGGGTTGGGTGTTTGGAGTGGAGGCTGACTGGCTGAGTGTTTGATATGTGCTTAAAGAGTTGATGCACAACACTGACCACCATTGCTTGCAGCTTTTCTAGTCTGTTCTCATCCCCCCCTGTCCTTCTCTTTCTGATGTTGTTCTGTTATAGTTGTGTAGAATGTTTATTTCTTGTAAAGAATCTGACTAGTAAACTTGTAGATCAATCATGCATAGGTTTATTGCTATGCACTATCTCCACTTTACCTGTAACTTGTGTCACAAAAGCACTTGAAACATACATTTGACCACGAGTTGAGAAGTTAACATGCACCTGCTTTTCATCGTAAGATGATGAGAGCGAGGTAAAATAACGTAGAAAGAGAGAAAGTAAGTCTTCCCGACTATCGCAGTTAGGTTGCCAGTTATTTGGTAAGGAGACCTGAGTGAGAGGCTTGCTCTCAGCTCGGGCTGCGGTTCCATCCCGCCTTAAGGGGAATGAATTAAAGGTTCAATCCACCACCAGAATAGAGTGGTTGGGAAGCTGTCGCAACCTATTTTTACATGGAGTTGATGGTAAACACTTTTCTTTTCATTTAGCAAGAGGCTTGTTGATTACCTGTTACTCAATGACCATAAGATTCTTGTCATCAATGTGTTGTCATCTTGCTTTGTAATGAGATTGCATCTCTGGCTACTTCAAGAGAGCTTATTAACTTATATTATTCAAGGTACTTGTTGGTGCCTTGATTGAAGTATTGGGAAGGACCCAGAGGAAAGTCTAGCTATTTGTATATTGAAATGTGGCAATTGCATCAGACCTTATGAGCTATGCCTCTCTACTGATGCATCTTAGATTTAACTTAGTCTTCGCCTACAATATGCATTGATTTATAGTTAAACAAAAGTCAACTTATGCATCTTTTGTGTTTGCTTGATTATTCAGATCTCAGGTGGTTGGAGACATACCATGGCAGTTACTTCTGAAGGAAAGCTTTATGGATGGGGATGGAATAAGGTTTGTAATCCCTTGTTGCATCAGTGTCCTTCAGCTATAGGTTTTGTGTGTTGGTTTATGTGTTAAATCTGAATTTAGGAGCTCATTGACCGCTATTGACATTTCTTCTGCCTGAGGGTTTGAATAAATTATTATTATCATTTTGAGTGTGTCTGAACTTGAAAGGTCTGTGAGTTAGAACTTTAGTATTGAGAGTTGATTAAAATATATATATGAAGTTTCCTTTCTGTTTAATCTGGCATTGTAAAGAAGTCAACTGGTTTGTTGTATGTCTTTTCTGCTGCAATAATTATTATTGCAAGCACAGACCATATTTCTTTTGCTTCTGAGCTGGTCAACAAAATTAGTGCCTGTAATTCATTTCTGACCTTGGTCAAATACAGTACTTGTTTATTCTAAGCCCTTTATTTATATTTGTAGTCATTGGAGGAGTCTTTGAGGGAGGGGAGACTTGGCCATTGGTTTTGGAATACCTTTTTTTGCCCATTTCTTTACATTTACAATACCAAATTCTTGAAGTGATTAACTTAAATACTTAGATTGCACTATCCCAATGCTCCCTAGTCCCCTTGTTTGATTTGTCTCAGTGTGTACTTTCCGAATATGTTATTTTCATAATTTCTACTTATATTTGATTAAAAATAGTTGAAAATAACTAACCGAGATTTTAAAGCTATAATCTGATCAGAATATTTTAGTCTAATCTTATCTGGTTTAATTCTGACAAAAATAAGTAATGTTCTGTAATATGTTGAAGAAAACAAGCTCTAAGTAGATTAAGAATTAACCCACTAAGATACCAACCTCTGTCTTGGTCCTGTATCTGATAACAGCTTTGTCATGTAAATAACCTGATATTACTGTACCTAATTGATTAAGGTTTGTATACACGCCAAGTATTATACATTTTTCTGATTTTTTTAATATCAATTTTTTAGTTGTCCAATGTGTTGATTCTATTGGGATTTGGAGTATTATTGTAGTCTCATCTACTTAATCGGAACTGAACCTTAGCTTTGTATGGTGCAGTTTGGACAGGTGGGTGTGGGTGACAATGCTGACTGCTGCTCTCCTGTGCAAGTTTTGTTTCCCCATGATCAGGCACATCCTTATCCTTGTTATTTCATTTGTTATTAGTTAAACTCATTTTTAGCCTCGCTGGAACACTCTGGTTATTAAGTACTGATTTGTGTTTCAAAATGATCACAGAAAGTAATGCAAATTTGCTGTGGATGGAGGCACACATTGGCTGTTACAGAGAGGAATAATGTGTTTTCTTGGGGAAGAGGTACTAATGGTCAGCTTGGGCATGGGGACTCTGCAGATAGGTAATATAATTTTCTGCCTTTTTTTTTTTTTTTTTCCCTTTTTTTTCCTATAAACAAGATGGACATGATTAAAAATCCCTTCATTACTTATTTTATTACTTTTTAAAGCCTTTATAGTTGTATATATTGCACATATCTGGCCTGCCCTTACCACTCTCAAGGTTGGGGCCTAAGGTATTGCACTATTGTTGATGTTGTGTTTCACACCCCTATGTAGATTGTGGTGCTAGTTCATTGAGTAGGATGGATATGATGGCTGTTGATAAACCATACAATATGGGTAGTTATTTGGGTGGAAATGACATGTCTTGTTAAAAATGATTTGAGCTAGTGGCACTAGTAAAATAATTTATATCTGATACTGGTGAGAGAACCTTGGATGATGAAATGATATAGCATTATTAGTAGTGAGTTCAGAGTCTTCAGACTTCTGACCTTTCTTCTTAACTTCTGAGTCATTAATTATCACCAATACTTTATGGTTTATGCTTTGAAGCTGTATGCAATTTTCTTGCCATGATCTTTCTGCCTGACACCGTTTTAGTTGTATGTTATATACATGTCAATTAGTGGTTATGGGTAATGATATCAGTTCTTATTTTCTGAAATGCAAATTCTACTTTCTGAACATGTGTGTTTTACAGTCTGTGCTTCTAACTTCTGCCCTTCAGCAGAAGGTTGCATTGCCAATGTAGACTGGCGTGTAAAATAATTACGCTAAATTTGTTTTCTGTTTTGAATGGAGTTAGTAATTTCTTATGTTCTCTTAGTGCTACTCACTTTTCGGATATGATCTTCTGCTTGGGATAAAAACCTGACAATCTGCAATCTAAAGACTAAATTCAAAAGAAAAATATCATTGATTTATATCCTACAAATTGCAGAAATTCTCCAACAATGATAGAGGCCTTGAGCATGGAAGGATCTGGTGGTCAAAGGATCGAGGCATCAAATGCAGATCCATCAGCAGGTTACTTTCTTTCCAAGTTATCTTCCGTAATAGTTAGTACTAAGTGAAGTACTTGAAATTAACTGATTAACTCCTCTACTCTGTTCTAACAGGGAGAATTTTGGTTCCACCATCAGGAAGATATGCTGTCGTCCCTGATGTATGAATTTCTTTTGTTTTTTTTAATGAGGTTCCCTATTTTCTTCTGGAGATGCACAGGGATTTGGATCTTGCAATAGTTAGAACTCTAACATCACACTATACTGTTAGATGGCTTCCCCAAGTACAATACAAGTTTATCTGTAAATGTGGAAGCTTTCTAATACAAGTTTGTTAGATTGAGATTCACTATTGTAAAGTATCCTCTAGAGCTGATCACGTGCCAGATCGAAGCCTGATTAATAAGTTTGCACAAAATACTTGTTTTTTAGACTAAGGTTGATGTTTTAGGCCTCACCCAAAAAGTTGCCTGGACGTTCAGATCCAGCCCGTAGATCAGCTTTAGTGTCCCTCACCCATGTAATAGATTTGCACAAAGGTATTAAAACAAGTTTCATGCTCTCTTGCAGGAGCAAGCTTCAACTGCAGGCTCAAGGGACAATGGTGGTGACGCAAGTGTACCAGAAAATGACGTAAAACGGATACGAGTTGGCCCTGGACCTGCTTAACAGCATGAGATATAGGATGATTTGCAGGAACAAAGTTTCTTCTGAGCTTCATGGGACTGATCTGCGTGTATTTTGTATATATACGTCTGTTATTCAAGATAAACTTCATTGGATGTATCTGATCGACCACTCTTGATCAACGCTCCATTGTTTTGGTCTCTATCAATGCTTACCCCCCTGTTTCTTTTGCGGCGAATGTTTGGCTGTACAACAGTACACTTGAGAATTTGGGAAGATTTTGCAAAGTTGCAGTTGAGTCTTATTTGCACTTTGTTTAAATTTTTGGAAATGATGCATGATCACATTGGCACAGTCCACACCCCAAGGTCCCCAAGCCTTCTAAAAATGCATTGGTTAGAATAGACAAGTACTCTATAATCCGAATATATTATTATACTCCGTACTTAAACATAATACTCCGTAATTCGTACGGATTTATTTGGGTTTAACCTTGTGAATTGAAGCCCAACAAAAAATTCATCAAAAAAAGGATTGTACCTAATTTCTACTCGTATATTTTTATTTTCGCACTTGCAGTATAACCTTGTGAACACACCTTAAGGAAGCAATTAAAGTTGGTAAATGGACCAATTTATCAAAATAATTTAAATGCCTAAGAGTGTTATATGTGTAGTTCATTTTGATTAAGTGGTCTGTTTATTTTCTCTAATTTTTTTGATAGAAAAAGTGATTGCTATGAGGCTATATTGTAAGTAAAATGAAAAGGAGGAAGTATGTAAATTTAATATGTTTATCAACAAGCTAAGCAAAATGGGAAAAATGTGCCTTTGTGTTGCTTGTCATCTATCAACACTATCTTCGTGTCAGGTGAAGCATTATGATACTTCATAAGTTCTTATATGGTTGATTACTTATCATGTATCATACATATGCACTAATGTAAGATACAATAGTATATTAATTATTCGTTAGAAGAGGTTCTTACATCAAAAGAAGTATGTATATTAGACACAAATTGAGAGGGAGAGACTAAGAAGATGCATCTTTCAAATACTTATGGAGATGAATATGAGGTAGTTTTGGGGCAGCTAGAGTACAGATTTACAATGAGGGATGTAAAGCAGTAAATAAGTATAAAGTCTGCTAATTAGTTAAGACAAGATGAGGATCAAGGAGTGGATGGATGGTTATTAGTCCCTCCATCCCCTCCCCCCCTAGTGATGGGGGTTTGATTTTCACCCCCCCATCCCTCCCTCCTACGGTAGAATATTTCTCGTAATCATTATTGCAAAATATAAAATCTAAACCGAAAATCAATTGTACTATTTATTGCAACAATCAACTTCCAAATCACAACTCAGTTGACACTTTTCTAAAGGTAATTTCGTTATTTGTGTTATATTCACTAACACAAATACTTTTTTTTTTTTTATATTTATTTTTGGGTAAAAATGGAGAAAATATGGTAGTTTCACACCATCTTCAATCTTTCCTCGTCGTGTATACAATACATGAATATAATCTTCCTTATTTTCTCTCTCCTCCCAAAAATATTATTTTTCCCACTAGATTACTACTTCTTCCTACTTCAATTATTTTTTTTTTTCTCACTTTTTTTTTCTTTCTTTTCTTTTTACATTCCTCCATTATTTCTTCAACTCCATTAGATTAGATCTACTACTAATAATCAATTTCTGGGAATTTTTAATTTTCCCCAAAATTATTCTCCATGGTCATCTTCTTCAACCCCTTATTCCCATTTCCCTTACCCTAATTTTTCCCCCAATTTTTCCCTCATCTGTCATTCTCTCTCCTCAGATCGTGGTGAGTTGAAGATAGATCGAGAGGAAAGAAGAAATGAATGATTTTCAGGGATTGTTATCAAGCGATTATGGGTTCAAACCTCAAGGTAAAGCTGCTCCAATGGCGGGTGCTAAATCCGGCATTAATTCTTCTTCTTCAAATTCTGCTTATAATTTCGAGATCGGAGGGTCTAAAACGGCGTCGTTTCCCTCCAATTCGAAGAGTTCTTCGTCTTCTTTGTTTGATGATCATGATACCCTTTTTCGCCCTAATCGGAAAAATACCTCATCTGATGATTTTGGGATTTTAGATGATGTTTTTGCTACTGGGGGGATTAAAAGCAATTCGTCAAAGTCTACTAATAATGCTAATTCGGTGAATTTGGATTCGATTTTTGGTGGTGGCGGCGGCGGCGGTGGAGGTGGTGATTCGGCGTCGAAGTTCTCTTCTTTGCCCGTTTTCGATAAGCCGGTTTACGATGATGAGGATTCGAGCTCGGCCAAGTTTGAGAATATCTTTGCTTCGGCTTCTTCTGCTTCTGCTTCTACAAAGAAGGGTGATGCCTTTGATGATCTTTTGGGGGGGTTGGGGAAGAAGGAACCGCTATCGTCGAGGTCGGTTGGGTCGGGTTCGAAGGGGGCTGATAAGGGTTATGCTGGTTTTGATGATTTGTTGCCTGGTTTTGGTGGTGGGAGTGCATCTTCAACGAGCAGGTATAATGCTGACTTTTTGCTTAGTTTGGTTTTTGTTTTTTGTTTATTGTGATTAATTTGGAGCTTTTGGAGCAAGTCTTTTTAGCTGATGCATAATTTCGAATTTGGTTAGTAATGATGTATGTTAGTACATGAACATTGTTATTTAATTTCCTGTGTATTAGTTTTGAGCTTGTATTGTTGAACTTTTAGAAACGTGTTAGTCAAATATAGGCCATGTTTGCCGATTTGGTCCAAAAAGGATTCATAATTTTACCACATTTGTACCACATTAGATGTCCCTTAACGATATCAACATAGTGTTATAGGCCACTTCATAGTTTCAATGCATTATAATGTCAGTTTACTGTACTAATGCCAACACTAAGAAATGGCTAAAACGATTTATAGTTTGGATCAGAGGGAGTATCTGGCTTGAGAGGTATGGGAAAGAAAAAGGATGGATGAAAAATTATATGGAATTATTGTACACTTGGTTATTTGGCTTCAAATGTGCAAATGCGGTTGATTGTGACAAGAGGTTTAAGGGGAGTGGTTGATTAGAGGAAGTCAATTGAAGGCAGTGTGATGAGTTGCTATAACCAGCATTGCCTTTCGTAGAAATTTTGGTTCGTTTTCGTAGCACCTGCTCTGTTTTTTTTGTGTAAATATGAAGCATGACACTTGACAATTTAGAGTGATGATGCTTTGCTGACATTCACTCTGTTGGACCTATTGGTTAGAAAAAAGTCGTCATTTCTGTTAAGTAGAGATACACTGAGAATTGCAATTCTATCTTTATCCTCTATTGGTTCCTGTTTGTTCTAGTAATTACTAATGATGATAATTGATTCGCGGAAAATATATGGTTCTGGTTAGGTTTTTTTACATACTGTTGGATGCTTTTAGCTTCTTTAGGCTGTATGGAGAATTGGGGATAAGAAGAAAGAGGAAAGTAAAGAAGAGAAAACATGAAATAAGAGGAAAATTATTTATAAGAGTAAGATTAAGGAGAAAGTGAAGAAAAGTTAAATGAAGAAGAAAATACAGAGTAGAACTGAATCCTTTTGGAGCGGAGGGAATGAAGTTGAGTAAAGAAACCTAAAAGGTAAGCAAAAAGGGTTGGAAACTACTTTTAAATTTTGGATAATTTGGTTAACTGCTCAGTTCTGTGGGGTTGTGTGTTTCTGACCTGACCTTTTTTGTTTCTGAACTTTGGTTACAAACTTACAATGCCTAGATCATATTTTTTTTGGGAATTGAATCGACTAAAATGAATTGTAGGTTATTACAAATTTTTATTCAATGTCTCTTCACATCCTATTTTTATATTTCAAAATTACCGTGTGGCACAGAATTTCGGGATTTTAAAGGTTGTAGTCTATACTTCTTTATTAACGACACAAATATTTATGTTTCTTTCAGTAAATTCTTGTCTTTATTGTGGCTTTTGTTTGGTTTGGTTTGGCTGTAATACAAGTTTGATTGAAGGATAATACTTTCAGAACCTATAGACAATGTAGCAAGTTATTTCTTTGACATCATATTAGATGTGTGATGAGTATTTATTTTTGTTATCCTTTTCTGTCTGACTCTTGTAGCAAGTTATTTCTTGTGCTGCATCTTTCTTTTGTTCAAGTTTATTTTTGATATTATATTAACAGAATTTATGTGGTATCTATATGCTGTCTTTATAGGATGTCATCGGATACTACTAAGAAAACCTCAAGTGTAGTAGATGATCCTTTTGTTGTCCTAGAATCAACTTCTCCTCCTGTATCTTCTTCCTCTGGAATTTTTACTGATCCTTTGGATGAGATTAGTAATCTTAATAGTGCTGGCAAAAAAACTGCTGAAAATTCTCCTAGTGGGGCAGCATTTGATGATATAGATCCCCTTGGTGGCTTTGGCAAGGCTGTACCTGCATTTTCAGCAGAGATCAATGGGGAAGAAACGGAAGCATTCCGAGCCAGAGTTCCTGGACGACAAAGTTCGGTCACTGGAGATGCAAACCAGAAATCATCTGTAAGAAGTCCTGAGAGAGGTTATGAGAAAAAGGTGTCGGTGGAGGATTTTCCAGAACCAAGTGTCTTTGAGATGCCTTATGTGTCAGCTGAAACTAGTAGGACTGCACCAAATGCTTCTTCTCCTGCTCATAGCAATACTAGTTTTAGGGAGTCCAACTCCCATGGACATGCCTCTCCCAATTCCGAGGAGAACATGGGGTCATCTGATGATATATGGCTCACTGTATCAGAAGTTCCTCTCTTTACACACCCTACAGCTGCACCACCTCCTTCAAGACCTCCACCCCCAAGACCAGCACGCTTTTCTAGAGGAGAATTTGGTTCCTTTCCTGCTTCAAATGTACACAAGAAAGCTAATGATTATCCATCTTTCCCTGGTTCTGTGCCAAAATTTCAGAGTCCAAAATCAGCTCCTTCTGGTGCAAGTGGATCTTTTGCATCTCCTTTGGATGAACTTGATGATTTTGCCATGGGAAGAAATGCCAGTGATGTGGATGCAACTCATGCAAGCTCAGATGTTCGGTCTGGTGAAGATTTTGACTCAAATTCAGTTGCTGCTGCATCTGCTGCTGCCATGAAGGAGGCAATGGATAGGGCCGAAGCTAAATTTAGGCACGCAAGGGGGGTAAGGGAAAGGGAAAGTTCAAAGGTCTCTAAAAACAGAGAATCTGTACAAGTAGAAAAAGAGGAGAATCCTATGTATGATGCTCCTGAAAGGGAATTTAGGGAACATCAAGAACGACAAGAGCGTGAACGGCAACAAAAGGAAAGGGAGGAGGAAGAAAGACGACGATTGGAAGAAGAGGAGAGAAGGCGAATTGAGAAAGAATGGGAGGAGAAAGAGAGAGAAAAGAGGAGAATTGATAAGGAAAGGGAATTTGGAAGGCAAGCTGTGGAAAGGGCTGCCAAAGAGGCACGTGAAAGAGCAGCTGTTGAAGCCCGTACCAGGGCTGAAAGGGTTGCTGTTCAGAGGGCACAAGCTGAAGCTCGAGAACGTGCTGAAAAGGTTGCAGTTCAGAGAGCACAAGCTGAAGCACGAGAGAGGGCAGCTGCTGGGGCTAAAGAAAGAGCTGAAAAGGCTGCTGCAGATGCAAGGGAAAAGGCAAAAGCTGAAGCCAGGGAGAAAGAAGCACGTGAGAGGGAAGCAAAAGAGAAAGAAGCACGTGAGAGAGCTGCCAGTACGGCAAGGGCAAACCAATCGAAGAATGAAAGTGACCTTGAATCTTTCTTTAGCATGGGCAGAGCAAGCAGTGCACCAAGGCCCAGGGCTGCTTCATCGGTATGTTAAAATTTATAATAGGCTTTATTTTGACATTTAATTGGCATTTCTTATTGTGTACACTTTTAATATTATTTCCAGGATCCATTTGAAACACAGTTCCAGGCTAAACCTACACCTGAAGCAACCAGAGCGTCTGTTAACTCCTCTTCTAACATGAGAAAAGCATCTTCATCAACAAATATTGTTGATGATTTAAGCTCAATATTTGGAGGTAATAAAGTGAAAATGCTTGAATTTCTCAATTAGCACTGCATTTTCTTCCTTGCTTTTACTTTATTTAAAGATACTTATAGATTCTCTTGTCTTTGTTTCCTGCAAAAGGCCCCCCATCATCTGGCGACTTTCAAGAAGTTGATGGCGAAACCGAAGATAGGCGGAGAGCCCGAATGGATCGCCACCACAGGACCCAAGAGCGTGCTGTATGTGCCTTTGTTATACATTCTGTTATTCTCATCCTCCATGTTGATGTGATCAATCGTTAGTGCACGTCTCTTAGAAAGCTAAATTTTAGATGACACCATTGACTACATTATATGGAGGTGTGATTTATATATTTAGGGAGATTCTACATAAATATTGGAGAACTTTGAAGTCGATTTCTTTTTCATCAATGGTGGAATGTGAAAGTTCAGCGTTCTCCCACTATCTTTTTTTTTTTTTTTTCTTTTTCTTTTTTGTTATATTATTTATTGCTCCTAATTTTGGAGGAGTGGATGGGTGGGTGGGGCGGTGGGGGGGGGGGGGGGAGGGGGGGTAGTAATGTAATATAGTTAAAAAAAAGCGCTCTACATGAGTATAAAGGTTAAATTCCAATTGAACTGGTAAAATTCGTTTGGGAAAATCCTTTGGACAGACTCTTTGGTTGAGTGGCTGCTAGACTAAGAAGCGATTGTCGTGTGGAATTGCCTCACAACTTGAGAAGGATAAGAAGATTCACATGCTATATCTTACATTCTAGTGAAGAGAACAAAGAAAGCATTAGTTTCCTTTTTTGTGAAATCAATCAATTTATCTACTTCCTCCGTAATTTTAATATTGCACCATAAGAGTTGGCATAAATTTTTTGGTAGTGGGAAAAAAAAAAGAGAGAAAGGTAAAAATACAAAATTGCCCATGTGATTGAAACATAAACTAAAGAATTAAGGGTTAAAAAGTAAGGGTATATAGGGTATTTGTAGTGTGAACACAAATATTTGTTTTCCTAAAATGGATATGGTGCAATATTTGTGAAACTTCCTTAAAAGGCAAGTGGTGCAATATAAAAATGGAGAAAGTATATCATTTTGGCCCCTTCTTGTTAATGGCTTAAAAGTTGAACAAAAAAAAGTTGTTGGGTGAGTGTGGGCTTTGACATTAGTGAAAGGTGGTAAAAAAAATAGAAAAAATAAAATAAAATTAACTTGCCATATAAAGGTTGGAGCATTTATTTTTAATTATGGCTGTAGATAGAGTGTTAGGTTTGCTGGTTTACTAAAACATATACTTCCTCCTTTTTTTTAGTTGCATCACTTGGTAAATTGCGGACTCCTAGGCAATTTTTGGAGATGAGAGAGAATAAAATTATGGACCCATGTGATAGGAGAGAGATAGAGAGAGTTTATTAACTAAAATGGAAAGTGATGCAATTAATTTGAAATTTCCATTTTAGGAAAGTGAAGCAATTAAAAAGAAACGGAGGAAGTACTCCCTCCGTTCCATATTATAGTTCATATTTTCCTATTTTGGAGACCCAAAGTGTTGTTCTTGTTTCTATTTTTGGATAGTATGTAAAAACCATTACCCTCATAGAGACCCAAACTTTATTTAGCCTACTTCCTAAATTACCCTTGAATTTTCCATTTGCCTTAGTACACTTTTTCTCTAACTTATGTCTATAATTGTACTTTTCACCTTTATTTTTTATTTTTTTATTTTTTTTTTTATGTACTTCATTCACTTTCTCCTCTCTAACTTTTATCTATAATTGTACTTTTCAACTTTTTTTATGTTCTTCATCCACTTTCTCTTCTCATTTTTTAAATACCGTAAAAAAACACAAATAAGAACTATATATTGGGACGGAGGGAGTATATTACTCCTTATTGGAAGTTCTAGCAATATAATTACCCCATTTGCCTGTAGAATGATGATCCACAACCACCAATGTTGTGTAATGTGTAATGTATGTGGGTGTAGGTGTGTAGTCATGAAGGGTGTGGCTTTTGTACCGAAGAGTGGATGTCAATGATTAGTTTTATGGGAAGACTAATGTAATGAGTAGAATGATTTCAAAATGATAAGCATTGAAAAGAATTAGTGAATTATAATTTGCTGCCTGAAAGATTTAAATAGTTTAAACATCTTTGCTTGATTAGGCTCTTGTGCTACATTGTATATCTGGATGTTAATTTTATGGAGCATAATTAAGAAATATCAAAATAAGATGATTACATATGAGAGATTTATGATGAAATGCTGTAGTAGTAATACAAGGAGGGTCAGCTGTCATGTTTGTGGTTAAAGTTCCTCTAAAGCTTGTTTATTTTGATTGGCAATGGTTAAAGACATGATCCCTGTGGAGGATATACATAAGAGAAGGATTTACAGTTTAGCAAGCTGGCATAGCTTATGTTTATAAGAGGGGTGGGTGGTTGATCATCTCTTTGCTGGTTAGTCATGGGTTTCCTCCCGTTAGCACTTTGGCTTATCTTTGTTTGGGATGAGTTAGCCTTGACTCAGCTGGCCAAAAGTGTACTTGTTTCATGGGATGGAGGATAAAATTTTAAGAAGCCTTAGTTTGCTAGTCAGTAGAATAGCAAGGGTAATGCTTCTATCCATCTAGAATTTAGCATGTTCCTTTAAAGGATGCTGTGTAGTTGGAGCAAATAATTGCATTGTAGTCGGATCTTTGATCTGATTTTGTGGATATTGGGTACATAATAACCTGAGGGCATGATGATAATTTATGCAACCCTTTCTATCTGAATAGGTTAACAACCCTTGTATTATTTAACAATAGCACCTATTAGAGGAAATCATATAAGGGAGCAAAAGGTTGGCTCCTCTATCTAAATAGGACGAGGAATTATGTTGAGTTAGAGATTCTTCGTGGAGATGCTTGAATATTGGATTCCTTTGTATCTTTGCTGATGATTTGGCTGGCATGCCTTTTAATGTGGTCACTTGTGATCATCCTCTTACTTTATATTATTTTTAGCTAATGATGTTTGTATTTCAGGCAAAAGCATTGGCTGAGAAAAATGCCAGAGATCTTGAGGTTCAAAGGGAACAAGCTGAGCGTAATGTAAGTTGAACTGCTCTTTTTAGGTGTTCATGTTCTTTAATATTATTCCTAGTTTCTGGGGATTAGCATACATACATCCTAGACAGAAATGTACTCTCTTTTTGAGTTTGTCCTTTGCACATGTCTCACATTGTAGTTTGGCTTTCCAGCCTTTGTCCTTTCTTCATACCAATTTAATTTATTGGACTAAGTTATCTGAGAATTTATCTGAAACTAAATGAATACTGATGGTTGACAGCATACCTAACACTAGTTCACAACATGTTAATATACGTTCTTCCCAACCCTTGCATTTTCTTGCTCATCTAAAGTATTTATTTCCTCATTTTGTCCCTGAAATTATCTCCTTGCAAACTGCAAAGCCATTGGTCATGCTTTAGTAGGAGTGTTATACCGCTTGTACCTCTATACTCATTGGCAAGGAAGTAAAATATGTTTCCTCTCCTAGCAAACTCTATTATTGACCAATCATTTAAATTTTTTTTATTTTTTTTTTATTTTTATATTTAAGCCATGGGTATCCTTGGCCAAATTTGGCTGAGGCTTTCGTTTAAAATATCTCACCTGGGATCCTGGACTCAGAAAATTTTCAAGTGAAGCCATGTGACTCTCATCAACTGCTTGCCTAATTTTGCTTTTTTGAATGTCATTATGGGTGTCCTCTTCATCTGGGCTATATAGCTTAAAGGGCATATTTAGGAGCTTTATATCTTTGTATGGCTCAGTAGAGAAGTATGGGCCTTTACTTTTACAACACTAAGTTTATCTATTACTCTGCTGTCATCAAGTCTGGGTTCATCATGTCATATCCTTCTGATATAACCTCTTTGCAGAATAAATTTCAACTTTTCAACACTTATGTTAGTCAATTAAGAGGAAAAAGTATAGAAGTTTTAATGTTCCATTTAAAGATGCCAATCTTAAAGAGCTCTTTGGAGGTTAGGTGGGTTATTTATCTTAATCATACCATATATGATCATGCATTCATGTCAAATTGCTACTTTTCCGCCACTTGTACCAGAAACTTGATACATTGCAGTGCTGCCGAATTGCCAAATAAACCCTATATACCTACTTGAGTCTCGTGGACATTATAGAGCTTTCTTTCTTTGCCAATTCAACCTTACCACACTTGGGTTTTTGTGACTACATTCCTCCATGCCTCCAATCAATTGGAAAGCCTCCTAACTCAGAAGACATGTTGCTATGACAGCTTATGAGCATCATTTATGAAGCAAAAAGTTTATGGGTTCATGTGGGGATTGGACTTTCTTCAATTTGCTGGTCAAATAATTGGAGCCAAAACACGGACTTGAATTAAATGGACCACTACTCATTATTGAATATTCAGATGCAGATTGCTTTTAAGTAAGTTAATCTCCGTAAAAATTTCCAAGGTTTCTACCCTGCAAGAATTTTTGGGCTATTAAAGATTAAAATTCTAAAACTAGTTGCTTTAAAGGTGCTCCACGAGGATGGCCACTATAGATTGTCTCTTTTCTTCCCAAAGAAATATCAATATATCTGTTGTTAGTCTTGTGTTTTTGTTTGAGCCAAGTGTAAAAGCTCTAAATTGAAGTTTTCTCCTTCTGTATTACCCTTTTCTGATTAAATTAAATTTTTTTTTCTTGTTAAAAAAATAAATGTACTATTGAATGGTATATGGAACAGATGACATATGTAGCTGAAGTGAAGTGTAATCCCTTGATTTGTATTTATTGGTTAAATTTGAATAAATGGTTTTGTTTGACATGATTGCAGAGGATTTCTGAAACACTTGATGTTGAGATACGACGCTGGGCAGCAGGGAAAGAGGGGAATTTGCGTGCTCTTTTGTCAACAATGCAATATGTGCGTATAAATACTTATTATTTTATTATTTTGTCAACTGATGCTCTAGACTATTGAAAAATAAAATATAATGTTTAATTTTTAATGTGGAATTCTTCTTTTCTAATTAAAAAAAAGCTTCTTGTATTTATTTCTCTCTCTCTCTCTCTCCAGTTTTTCCTCTTCAGTTATGTTGGTGTGTGGATGTGTTACAATCTGTTAGGTGTGATGTGTCTCCACTTCTGTTTTGAGGGCTTGATTTGTTAGCTCTTTATAGTGTGTAGTGCTATGGCTGTTGACTACTACTTGATCATATTAATTTCCAACCCGTTTCCTATATTATTTATATACATGTTGTAAAAATTTGCACTTTTGCTACCCAGTATTGTTTTATTGTTGGTATTATTATCATATACAGGTTGATATGATCTCATACTTTATTCTATTTTATGGATCCATGGTGGTATTGTACTGTATATATTGGTCTTAAAGAATTTCTAAATTAAAGAATATTTTCGGGTTACCCTGCTCTATAGAAATGATTTACTCCATCCTAAATAAATTGCCACATTTTCTATGTTATGCTGTCACAATTTAATGGAAGCATTAACATGTTTGGTAATTTTTATACTTTACATTTTCTCCCAAGGTAAAACCTACACCCACTTCCCTCTCTTATTGTTATATTTCTTGAAATGTGTGCCTAATTGGTTTGCAGCAATTAATATGGGACGGATATGAGTATAAACCTTCACTTTTCTGATCCTCAGCGTCTCATTTGTAAAATGTTACCACTTCATGTTTTTACTTCTGAGATCCATAGGCTCACGCTTGTTAAAACAATGGCATGAAGAAAATTATTTATTATTGAAAAAATAATCTGAATTTTATCCCAATGGAAGAGGCAAAATGCCTGATCATAGCAAATCATAGTTAGAGTAATTCTGAGAGTAAAAGTCGTGTGCACAGAACTTTCTGTTTCTGGACTTGTGTAGACACCCCATGTTTCTGCGCTCAATTTCAGCCTGTTGGTTTTGGTTGGTGATTGTGACGATATTTTCTTCCTTATTTTGCTTATTACTAAGTTGTTGCTATTTCTTTATTTCCTGATCCTTGTGTTAGTTAAACTGGTTGGATATGCTTTTTTGCCCCTTATGTTTGTCACATTATATGGTGATGGCGGTTATGACAATCTGAGTATGTAATATGGTCTGGGTATTGTGTACTTGTTCGTATTTGTATGGTTGGGCCTTTATTTGCTTGATGAATTTTATCATAGCAGCTGATTGCCATCTATTTTCTTAATCATGAATAGGTTCTCTGGCCTGAATGTGGCTGGCAACCTGTTTCCTTGACTGATTTGATTACTGGTGCGGCAGTTAAGAAAGCTTATAGAAAAGCAACTTTATGTATTCATCCTGATAAAGTACAACAGAAGGGTGCCACTCTGCAGCAGAAATTTGTTGCTGAAAAGGTGTTTGATCTATTAAAGGTATCTGATTTTTCTTCCTCCCTTCAAAATATTTTATAGACATTGGATTGACAATGTATTGAAGTTTGTTAATTTCCCCTGTTAAATAGTTTTAGAATAGGAAGTTTCTTCTCAATGGTGAAATGATTCTCTAGTAGTCAGGAGTCATATGCCTTTGTTCTTGGTACACCTAAAATTTTATTTACTACATATTTTTTTTTTAATTGCTCAAATGAGCAATAGTCATAATGGTGCTCCCAACTGAACAAAACATCAGAGAATAGCCTTTGGCATACCTAGAGCTAGGTACACCTGGGTAACAGAGGCTCTTCATTCGGCAATTTTTATGGAGGGTTTTATTTCTTTCTTTGGGGTGGGGGGCTCTTGGCCACGATTCATCTCAATGCTGTGTGAGGGAAAATCCCAAGTCCTAACATAATAGGGTTTTTTGAGAAGTGAATTTGGACCACGCCTAATTTTGGCTTGGGATAATTTAATTCTTAGATTTATATTGCCAGATTTTTGGACATTATTGAATACTCTTGCAAGTCCAGATGTTTCTGGACTTGTGTAGACACCCCATGTTTCTGCGCTCAATTTCAGCCTGTTACTCCAGATTCTTATTTTGGAGTTCAGTGTGGAATGCATTTGGGACTAATGTGACCAAAGTAGCCTTTGTTGGAAGAAACAATGCTCATTTCAGGGGTTAATAGGAGGGTCAACTAGGAAACGTTATTCAACATTTGCATTTGAAACCTGAAACACTTATGTTTTTGGTGTATAATGAAGTTTTAAACTGACGCTATCTGTTTAAATTGGAGGGGAGTAATTCATTACTCATTCGATCATGCTATAGTGATCTGAATTCTGGTTTATGGTATGAAAATAGGAAGCTTGGAACAAATTCAATTCAGAGGAGTTATTTTGAGAATTGGAGGTTTCATCCTTTTGAATTTTAAGGGTGTCTTGTTCGGCATATATTCACTCCTTTATGCAAGTTTTGAGCTATTCTGAAAACTGATCCCTGCTTCAATATGCACGGAGTTGCTGTTCGGTCGGCTGGGTTTTCGTTCTGTGGTTGATGAGATGCTTGAAATGTTCAATGCCCTTCAGTTCCCTGAGTTTGCTGTTAAGTGATGATCGTACAGTTGGAGCACGTTCTGAAGTTTTCCTAAGATGGTATAGAATAGCATTTGTTTGGGTGATTTGCCCATGTGATCATTGTCATATTATTCATTAGCAAATGTCATTGTTTTGAGATGCTGCGTTTGCATTGTATCCATTCTTTTGCTCTTTTTTGTTTCATAATAGCCTAATCTGTTGATGAAGAATTCAATGTATGATGATACGTAATTACTCAAAAACTGATATGCCAATTCATGATTGTTTAGAATTGTGAATTTTGATAGTGTGATGATGATTTTTTACGAGCCCAAGATGGCAAAAAAAAAAAAAAAAAAAAAAAAAAAAAAAAAAAAAAAAAAAAAAAAAAAAAACAGAAAAACTATTGTATGAGATGAACGTGATAATTGAAATCTTTTAAGGGATGAGTTTTGTCCCAATTATTGTAACATAATTATGACGTAGATTATTTTGTGTAAGCAGCGTCATTTTTTTTTTTTTGAGATGATTTATTGTTGATTGTAATATATTGTTCTCTGAATTTGGAAATCAAAGTATTGCTTCACAGCATATCGAATGCTTACTTGAACTTTCTTACACCAGAAGGCTGTATCAATTTTTTTGGGCTGGTCAGGGGTTACTGATTTTTATAGCTTAAAAAAATAAGCTCACTAGTTACTGAGATCAATGGCTGTGATAGTCACCAGGTACGAGACTGATAATCGCAATACTCAGGAGGTTAAATATGCATAGTTTAAAGGTGACTTGTTGCGTTTTTCACAACTTATTAAGCGAAACCAACACTACCGAAAATGTTATGACACCATTGGAAAGAAAGTCGGATCTAGAATACATTTAAATACGTTTGTCAACTTGCAAATAAATTTGGCAAGTTGTTAGATAATTCCCGGTATATATGGCTTTTATTATGCTAAAAAGTTAATAGAAATTAAAGCACCATAGATGGATGTAGATAAAAGTAAAACAGTGGAATGGTATAATATATTGTTTATTATGATTGTAAACTTCTGTAATCACCCAATTTAGATTCCAAAACCATTGGTTACTCTTTTAAGAATCTCCCTCTTTTTTGATTGACCTACATGATACAGTAGAAAAAGGGCATATTTGATGGTGTGCATACATTCCATGCATCATAAAATTAGGTCTTGTACTTGTTTGTCGTTAAAGGAATCAGTTTTAAGACAAAGTTGCTAGGAGGATTGCAAAGGACAACTAATTAGGTCCTTTGTCCTTTTATACATTACTGATTTTCGTATCTCTCAGATTTTTCCACTCAAAATTTGATTTTGACATAACATCGTGAGTATGTAGAACGAATATCATATGTTAAAATGGAAATTGTTACTTTGTGTTTCTCTATGAAACTTGATACTTTGAAGGCAAAAGGAATTCATATTGAAGAACCATAAAAGTTATTAACATAAAATCACATGATAACTACATAGTATTTAATTAACAAAATAGTGTGTAAAATATTGTAATAACTTTGTATTTGTGTAAATTAAAGTGGATATTTTGAGGTGTTCATAATCGTGTACCTTGCTTTCTGAGTACCCAAAAAGAGTGTACTTGAAGTGGGACTATAGAAGATGAAGTATTTGTTTAAATTTTATTGGGTGCTGGGTGATTGTTCTTTCAAATTCGAATTATCTGTTTTTTTTTTAGAACCTTATTACTACGGATTAATTAAACTATTTGCTATTTGAATGATATTATTTGTATTCCTAATATCCAATCCAAACATAAATTAATAACTTTTGGCACAACAAACAAAAAAATAAAAATAAAAATAAAAACACTCAAGTTGATTATTTTTCCATAGAGGTTACAAATAGGTGGTTGGCGGTACATTTTACTTTAATTTCGGTCAATTTGAATTGGATTGTGTTTAGGTTAAGAGCTATTCTATTTATGTTTTATTCGTTTTGTGTCTATGCCCAATTAATTTTGTGAGAAATCAATCAATTTAACTGTATCAACTAGTTTATCTATAGATGACGACTATGGCATGTCCATTCAAATGTTTTTAGAGTTGGTCATATCAATTGATGTCTTAAAACTCACTAATGATACGTATTGTGCTTGTCTACATAACTATTTTCAAAAATTCATCGTACATATGAATTAGTCTAAATGGCACGATACTGATTCGTAACTTGTACACCTGGAGTTATATATGTGGGGGACAAAACCTCGTCTTTATTCTAAGATTTTCCAACAACCACTATAACATTCTTGATGGATCAAGATTAATAAGAATTTGATCATTGGAATTTTATTACTTCCTTTACTTTGACTTTTTTTCTTTCTTTTTTTTTTCTCACAAAAAACTTTCAATTGAGAAGAGCAAATACAATTGGAGAGAGTAAATTGATAATAACATATTGTAGAGCATTGATTCACTTTAACTATACAAGACTACATTTATTTATCAAACGAGACATTATTAGTTTCTCTATCTCGATCTTACTTTTTATTTTTTGTAGAAGTTGTTAGTTGTCGTGTTTATCAGTCAAACTTAAATACTTAAATCACGTAACTAAACATATATAGAATTTGTTCAAATTTATATGCAATAAAAAGAGATTAATCTAAGAACAAATTATATAGACCTTAAGATAATTGACAAATATATAAATAAACAACTATATTTTGCACAAACAAACTTTGCACGGATTATTAGCACTTCATACACTAGATAAGATAATTAAAATTAATGCTAATTAATTGACAAAAGAATAGAGTAGATACTCAATTCTTTAATTACAAGGTACAACACTAATTACACATAAAAAGCTAGGGTTCCTTCCTTTCTTAAGAACACTAGCAAACTTTGTTACAACATTAAGTGAAGAAAAACAAAGGACTTAAAAATGAAATAAAATAAAAACACATCTGTACCACCCATGAACAACATATATGACTCTCCATGGACATTGAAATATAATTCCTTTCGACTACTCTCCTATGTCGATCAATCAATCGATCCAATGAATCTATCGCGTGCATCAATAGCTAGTTTTGAATGGACGATACACCTTAAGATCAGAAGCAACACCGGCAATTGATCCAGCAGCAGCAGCAATCGAAATCACTAGACAAGCCAAGCTCAACATTTGAAGACACACCCACTTTGTACTCCACTTTGGCAACTTCTTTTGAGCAATGTACATCTCTATAGGGAAGTACACGGTTAAAGGCCAAAACCCGAGTGCTCCAAGTAGTCCTACAATGTCATTGAAGAAAGGGAGAAGCATCGAAATAAGCGTGGTTAACACCACAAATGCACTTCTCCACACCAACCTAAAGAGGTTTAGACTGTAAGGCCTTAAACCCGGAATTCTAATTTTGATATCTTTAGTGATGAAATCGCTGTCAGGCCATCTTTGGACTGCCCATTTTTCGATGAATGCAAAGAGAGGTTGGCAGTAGACTTGGTATGCTCCAACTAAGTGAATTACTATGGCTGCATTGGCTATGTCTAGGAGCCAAAAGGGGTTGTAGAAACCGAAACCAGTAAGGAGATTTCCTGGTGCAAGATCACCAAACGCGGCATAGCCCATACATCCGCAGAGCATGTAGAATAGTGTTGTTACCGCGATACTTATGAATGAGGCTTTCTTCATTGTCTTGGATTCTGCAGGAGGTGATCTCACAGTATCCTGACCAAATCAACAAAAAATCGCGTAAATAACCAACTTAACTAACCACTCTAGCAGTCAAGTACTGTCACAAATTTACATGAGCTAGAATTAGTACCTGGATCTCAATAAGAATGATTGAGAAAGAGTAAGCAAAGGCGATATCACCAAGAGCTTGGAAGCTCCTCCAAATCTTCTGTGTTTCGGTCACTGATCCTACGCTTATTCCAGTGAAACTACCCTTGAAACTCTTGTTAGCTGAGTCCAAAAAAAAAAACAAGAAACATGTTAATTTTGTACAAAAAGTTTAACCAAAAAGCTTAAAATGTAGATTTTTGGAGGAATGTGAACCTGCTACTTGAACAATTCCTAGAGCAAGTCCAATGGCAGAGTAAGTGAAAGACATAACAGCCGCGACTATTGAGAGCCACCAAATTTGATCAAAGTCAGGAATCTGAGAGAATATAATTTCTGCAATTCCAAATGCTATCATATAAGGGTTGCTTGACATGTGACATGGGTTCTTCCCTCCACTGTCATGGAAGCAGTTTGATCGTTTTATCGCCCTGTCGAATTTAATCATCAGTACTCATATATACATACTTAACTTACCTCAAAGTTTTACATAATACAAGGTGAAATTATGCATAATAACTCACATCATACTGATAGAAGCTGCAATTGTGTATCCTATGGCAACGCCGAAAAGGTTCACATACTGAATTAGTCCACATAATTTCACATGTGCACCACCTACAAAAACATAGATAAAACCATATCTTAGTATATATAAATTTTAAGTTTGATATATAATTAGAAAAATTTGCGAGAAAGGTCCTTTTAAGTGGTCGACCTTGTGAGGAAGATCTTTTTATAAAAAAGGTGCCACAAAAGGTCCTTTTATGGCGTTTGAGTTGTGAGGAGGGTCATTTGACTACTCCGGCGTTGACCAATATTTTCCAGCCAAATAAAATCACGTGCACAGTAGTGACCACTGAAATCTTCTTCTTCTTTTTTTTTTTTTTTCTCTTCCTCTTCTTCCTCCATTTTCCTTTTTCGATTTTCCGGCCAATTTTTTTTTGCAAACAGAGGGGGGGTATGCAAATGGTGGGGTATTACTGTGTTGCTCCTTCTCTGAAATTCTTCAGTAGTTGTCGATTGGCTGGAATTTGGTGGAGTGGTGGCTGCTTGCGATGGCTGATTGGTGTTGCGTGGGTTGCTGTTGGTGTTGCGCAAGGGAAGGTTCTTTTGGAGTGTTTTTGAAAGGGAGAAAGGGTTGGGGTTCCTTGTTGCCGGAGGTGGAGGTGTGGTGGGCGGAGGTCTCGTCGGAAATTCCATTCATGGAGGTGTGGAATTGAAAGGGAGGAAGAAGATGAAGAGGAAAAAAAAAGAGAAAAAAAAAAAAGCTGATTTGATCGGTCACGTGCACAGCACGTGACTTTTTTTGGCCGGATATGTAGGTCAACGCCGGAATTTGGTCAAAGGACCCTCCTCACAACCCAATCGCCATAAAAGGACCTTTTGTGCCACCTTTTTTATAAAAGGATCTTTCTCACAAGGTCGACCACTTAAAAGACCTTCGTCGCAAATTTTCCATATAATTAAGATGATATTATTATTGCATATGAAAGTTCAGTATATATACCAAGGTTGGACCTAACAGCATCCATGTAAGTATAGTTTCTCTTGCCCGAAATCGGATCACCAGAACGGTAGCAATCGGCTAGAAGAGTGGAAGTGTAGTAGATAACAAAGGAGAACAAGAACATCACGGCCGGACCGGCGATCCAGCCAAGCTGAGCTATAGCCCATGCTAAGGAGAGCACTCCTGAACCTATCACTGCTGTTATAATATGTGCACTTGCGGTCCATACAGTCCCTATAACATAGTTTAACAAAAACAAAAAATAAAAAATGGTTAAGAATCAAGATTATGTTTAGTGCATGAAAATGATGAGCTTTTTTCTAGGGAAAATTCTAGAGATTAATACATAATTGATTGTTACCTACATTTAAGTGCTGAAATTAAAAGATATATTTAGGTTTGAAACTTTAGTTTTTGGTATGACGAGTACTTAAGGTGAAACAAAGAGTTTATGATACGATATTGTTGTACATGTATGTATGGTGGACATGTACCTGTTCTTTTGAGACGGCCATCATCATCGAAGCATGTAGACGGTTGTTGGCCTAGCACGTCTATGGAGACGTCGTAGACATGGTGGTTGTTTATTTTGGCAGCACCATCACCCATCTTGAATTGAATTAAGAGCAAAAAATAAGGCAAAGCAAAGAATACAATTAGAAAAAATAAAACAAAATTCAATGTTTAGATGAATAAATGTGTAAATGTTGAAGAGCTGAGCTAACAATTAGCTAGGTGAACTTGAAAATTATGTGATATTTTTATGGTTGGTAGGTTATATAAAACGAATTATGTTATAAGCTGAATTTATAGGATTATTGCAAGAGAATATTTAGGCAAGTTTACATAAAGCCTAAACCTAAAATGTGACACTAGGAGACCTAATAGTATAAGGAACTAATTAAGGTTGAACACTTGTATGAACAAAAAGAGTAAGTGGTAAAGGGGTATATATAAGCTGTTCAGATTTGCTCAAGTACAAGAAATAGCTAGGAATCTCACTGATATTGCTTATATTTGACCCTTCCAACATCCCCACCATAAAAAGGTGTTAGAGACTAAATTTACTAAATTGCCCCTTTTTTAAATTACAATGTTTATGCCCTTCACCACTAACACGATCATAAATACGATGATTTTTATTAGGGTTCTTTTTTTCCTCTTATTAATATATGTGATTGTTAAATTATGGGACCATGAAAAACGATATCACCTGATATTGACTTTGGAATTTGTTCTAACTACTCACTACTTAATACAAAGAATGTAATTATTCTTAATTTTACTTTTAACAACCATACATAAGAAGTCTTCTCTCACAATTATTTCATGGGCACAAACTTTATTTGTGAAGATAAACCAATTTATCATGCATGTCATATTCATCTTGTAGATTATACTAGTCAACAATTTTAGAAAAGATAGTAAGTCATGTCTAGTTAGAAAATTCTTAACAACCAAAGCCATCTCTCCATTATAAACCTAAATAATTAACTTAGAAAAATAGTAGAATACCTTAATTTCCTCTAAATTAAAAGAAAAAAAAAAAAAAAAAAAAAAAAACTCTTTTAAATTATTTTTTTTGAACCAAAAATTCTCTTTAATTAATCTACACAAAACACATACTGGTAAATTACAAAAGATAAAATATGTTTATAAATGAAATTAAATAAAATGTTTATAATAAATTTCTTACCGTCATTATAAGAATTTTCTTTCTCTCCCTCCTCAAAAAATGAGGATTTCGTAAAATAAATATATACAAAAGAGAGTGAGTAAGTGAGTATGTAGTGAAGATGGGTTTAGAGGGGCAATTGCTGCACTCTCTTGTGTATGATTTACGATGTTTATATAGGGTCCAAAAGAAGCATAAATATAACAAAAACATTATTAAAATATTTAATAATATTAAATTAAATTTCTACAACAATATAAAATATAGTACTACAATATGATCCTTTTTGTCTAGCAATCTCACGTGGAATGCTTCTCCTCCATCCTTATTGTAAGAGAATAAATGCTGCCTTACCATTGTATTTAATTTATTTGAGTTGATTAGTATCTTTACATTTTAATTGATTTTTGTAGCAATAATGCCTTTGTTTGAGAATTATGCCCATTAAGATGGTTGAATAATGTCTACATGTTTCATTATTGTCTTGCTTTATTGTATACTAATGTGGCCATATATGATATCCTTGTTTTTGGTAATCCTTTATGCAACAAAGTCCAAGGTTGGGTTAGGATTGAAATTTAAGGTTTAATAACTATGTACTCCATAATTTGTAATTTTGCCTTCTAGCGTAACTAACTATGTTTCTCAATTTAGAGATATACGATTGTGTATGAGTAGTTATTATACAGATCGATCGACATGGATGATCCATAAAGGCCCATAGTAGAATGAAGCTTATGGATAGTAAACATCCTTACCAAAATTATCTGGAGGTTTCACGTAGGGGTGAAACAAATTTGGTTTAAAACCAAACCGAACCGAAAACCGAACCGAATTAGGAATATGGTTCGGTTTTTTTCTTAAGTGGTTCGGTTTCGGTTTGTAAAATCAAGAAACCGAAATTGTATGGTTCGGTTTCGGTTTCGGGAAATGAAAACCGAAACCGAACCGAATTTCGGCCCATAATATATAAGGCAAAAAAAAAACCCTAATCACTCTTCTCAGCCTCTCACTCTCTCCTCTTCTCTTTCCTCCCTTTCTCTCTCCTCTAATCCTCTTCTCTTTTCTCCATTTGTGAGCTTTCTCCCTCTCGGTTCTCTCTTTCTCCTTTCCTCTTCTTATCTTCTCCAATCTCTAGTTCTCTACTCTGTCCTTTCTCTCTCCTCTTCGATCTCTTCTCCACTTTCACTCTCTTCTCCTCTTCGACAGTACGACCAAGGAGGCAAGGACGACCACCTGGGCACCAGTGTTCACATTCTAAAGGTTTTCATGTCAAATTCGACCATGAAAACACTAGATCTAGTATTTTCATGGTCGAATTTGACCTTTAAAACCCAAATTCGAGGTTTTTCGGTGGAATGTTAGGTATGTCCTCTTTTTCTTTCTTTTAATTTGGTTTGAGTTTTTTATTTTTATGGTGGTGTATGATTGAATTGTGGTGGTGGTAGGTAGTTTTGGGTGGGTTTCGGGTGGTCAGGATGGATGGTGGGTTTCTTCAGTTTTTGGTGGGTGGAGGGGTGGTTTTTGATGGATTCGGGTTGATGCATGATGAGTGGGTTTCGGGTGGTTTTTGATGGGTTAGGGTGGATGGCGGGTGGGTTTCGGGTGGTTTTGGGGGATGGGTGGTGAGTTTCGGTGGTTTTGGTAGGTTAGGGTGGGTGGTGGGTGGGTTTTAGGTGGTCAGGGTGATGGGTGGTGGGTGGGTGTTGGTGGTGATAAGGTGGGATGGTAATAATTAATACCTTGGATTGGTTTGGTTTTGTTTGGTTCGGTTTTAATTGGTTTGGTTCGGTTCGGTTTTTTTTGCAAAATTTGATGTTCATGATGCTTGATAGGAAAATTCGGTGCGGTTTGGTTTTTTTTTAAGAAAACCGAAATTTAGGTGGTTTGGTTCGGTTCGGTTTCAAAGAGAAAGTGGTGCGGTGTGGTTTGCAAAATCAAGAAACCGAAATATGGTGGTTCGGTTTCGGTTTGGGCCAAAAACCAAACCGAAAACCGAACTTTCACCCCTAGTTTCACGTGAACACTCACCTGATCCACTTGATAAGAACTAATTGGGGCCTACACCCTATGTGACAAACTCTTGAATAGCCTTATAAATAACCTGATCATTAGAAATAAAGGTACAAACATTTATGACAAAAAAATGTGTTCTTGTCAAAATTACTATTTATTGTCGAAACTATATTGAGTTTACCATCAGTGTGATTTTTCTGGATCTATCTCCGATTTGAGGGTAGTTAACATACAATTGGTTCCTAGGTCAGATTTGAGACATGATATTGAGTGATCATATTTTTAATTTCTAAATAATACTTTGTATATCGTTATTTTTAAAATAGAGTTCTAATAAATATTGGTTGATGACACTGACGTGACATAGTTTGTAAGGATTTTGAGGTGTTTCTTGGACGGAAGGATATGAAGATTGTACAACAAATGTTTATTGGCCTTGTACAAAGGAAAAGGAGAACTAGTTGTGTCCAGGGAACTAATAGCACATAGAAAGGTCAGAAATAGAAAGGAATTTTGCAAATGAAAGAAAAGGGCATAAATATATAATATAGCCAATGAATTGCATAAAAAAGAGCAATTTGTTAATACAAATAGGATCTGATTCTAGCAACTTTGTTGCCAAAGACTTTGGGATTGATAGGTTATGAGTCTTATGACAACTATTAAAAAGCACTTATCATTATATTAGTGCCTTTGGTATCTTTGAACTTTGAATGGATCTTTCTATTGATTATGACCCACTAATACTATTACCATAAGATTAATTAAGTCGTCTAAACTATTAATCCATTTATTAATTAAACATAATTACTATATGTGCTAATAAAAGTATGTAGGGATTAATTAGAAAGGTTATTATGACAAGACACTTGTTGGACTATCATCATTTTGGAAAATAAACTCAACGTTCTACCATTGATAGTGGGTTGTTTAATTTTGAGGGGTGTGTGGCCTTTCTCCTCCTTGTAATGTTGGTGGGTGGGTCTATCTCCCTTAGGTCGGCTTGAGTACCATCCACTTATATTAGTTTAAGAATAAGAGCGATTGTTGACTATCTTAGTTGATACGTACTAAGTACAATTGTATAGGTGTTTAGAAAATAAGCGAAATTTGACTAGTTTAGTCGGTACTATATATGTATAACTGTGTAGGTTTTTATGATTAAAATTAGAACAATTTTTACAAAATAATAACAGTATACAATTAATACATGTTCAAAAAAGTTAGAACACGTTTATTTTCCCAATAGATTGTAATTTAAATAATTAATTAAGTAGTTTTCATGTGCGATATATTTGTTGCTAAAGGTTAATTTACACAAATTAAGGGTTGGTTATTCTTTCATTGGTATTCTCTAAAACCATGTATCATTACATTTGTTGAAGACTTATTGATGTTTAATTTGGTGACAAGACAAATATTTAGGAACATAAGACTGAGTATTATCGAACCAATAATCAAAGGAAAAGTTCAATTCCGTAATCTTTCAAATCAAAGCTCTATTCTATTGCTCCTTTCCACTTGTTTATATTCGTCACACATGTATCCACTATTTAATGACGTTATGTATACAAGTATATTTTTAAAATTTTATGCTTCACGAAATCCACATTTCTCAAAATTGAACTTAATAATTTATTTATCATAGATTAATTGAGGTATAAAAAATTAATCTGAATTTAGATCTAATACAACAGTATTATTTCAGAAATTTCTGTCAATATGTATGCATTAGGAGAAATCAAGAGGTAAATTTTACCCTAATAAACATAAGGTAACTCATTGTCATAGGTAGTATTATAAATTAACAACAAAATATTTTTAACTTCAATAAACATAAAGTACATTATAAAATTTATAAAAAAATTATAAATTTTTTTTCTACTACTACTACTACTATTATTATTATTATTATTATTATTATTATTATTATTATTATTATTATTATTATTATTATTATTATTATTATTATTATTATTATTATTATTATTATTATTTAACTTCTAAAGCTTTCCATGATTCGCTATAATTTATGATATACTCTCAAGAGTGCGCAACAATTACATACTCTTTATACTTGAGAAAATTTTAAAGTCAAATTATAACCACTCACCCCTCCCTTCTTAACCTTCTTAAAATAGTTAGTGGTGGAAATTTATTAATAGAAAGTCAACTTTATATTAGGTCATGATAAAGATTTCTAAATCCAAATTATTTGAGCACGTGAAAATTAATTATACTTATAGCTATCAATTTTATTTCTACATTTACATCATAAATCTTGTCTTCTTTTGATCGTAGGGGATGTTCAATTATACTCGTAGGATCTATAACTAATAAGTATATTTATATACAATCCTATATGTGCTAGCCTAAGTAACAAATACCAAGTATAACAAACTATATACGCTATATTGCTTATATCATAACCATTTCTTCTCCAAAATCCAACATTGAATAATCTATTAATTTTTTGATATTCATTTTTAATAACCAAAACAGCAAAACTTACAATTTTGTTGGATTTAGATTTCAAATTACATATTTGGTCAAGAAGTGAAACTTTTCTTGCAAATATCAATTACTCATTGTAGGCTTATAGGCCTTGGAAAATCTTATATGACCCGAACTGGCTTGACCAAAGCCTGATTCAAACTCGAAATTAGATAACCGGTTTTGGGCCGAATCAAATTGACCTTCCCTAAACCAACCCGATCCAAAATGGTTAATTTGAAATTATGAATAACATTGCTTGACTTTTGAAGATTGGCAATTAAACTGAAATGGACTTAACCACAAATACGAATGTAGCCAGAGTCGATCCAAATGACCCTTTAGCATCCTTAACCTATGATGTACAACCTTAGGTATACCCATGTTAGACACTTAGACACTTAAGAGTTCTTTTCAAACTTGAAAAACAAGGTAAAATTCTTATGATTCACGAGGAAAAATGAGACAACTTGTCAACTTCTAGTCACTTCAAAAACAAGTTAAAAATTGACAATGATGGGTAGCGTTTATATGGCAAGGCTAATCAATACATACCGAATCAAATATTCCGATATATTATCTTTTGCCATTACAAAACAAAATTGTCCTACAAATGTAAAGAACACTAGATAAACCAAGATAGGTTTAAACACTAAAGACTGAATGGGTATTAAATTATTATTTCATACCATTGGCATTGTAGCTTCGAAAGGTACGGCTCTTTTGCTATTTCAGCATGTCAAACCTAAAAACATGTACCTCACTTATCTTTAGAATGGTGCTTCATAACCTCAAAACTTTTGTACAACGAGCCGAGCTTACATCACAAGTGAAGCCTCAGATGGTGCTTCACCATACAATGAGGTTCACAGGAGCTCACAGGATTTGTATTGTCCAGTCATCAGATATACGAACATTAGGTTTGCGAATTGTCAGAACGGAAGTCGTCTGAGACTGTTGAACCCGAAGTGGCCCCATCTCGATTTCAGCCTCTTTTTTAAAAGGCTCAATGAGGGCACTTTTTGGTCGAGCATTGTGCCCCAAAAGTATAATCCTTTCAATTACACATTCTGTTGAAAATAATCTTCCATCATTGCTTGAGGGTGCCAAGTTCAAAGAAGTAAGCTTGCCATCAGTAAAAATGAACCGGCGATGAATATAGGCACCACGCTGAAATTCAAAACTCTTGCCATCGTCGACATAAAGTTCTCCTTCAGCTGATTGAGAACTATTGAGAGCTATTACCTGAAACAAGTACCAAAATAGAGATTACAATATTAAAAGGAGCATAATTAGCAACCAATATTTTTTTACAGGAGATTTGAGGACTTTATCCAAAACCATCTAATTAAAAGTTACAATAGAAAAACACAACTTGTAATCTCAGTTTTCTCCTAGCTGTTCTAAGTGTTAGGAGAAAAGAAGTGATGCAGCACAAAAAGTATGTTTCTTGCTTGCATAAAATAATAAAGGATCATAGTTTGCAGAATGTCAACTCAGTATCCACAAATAAAAATGCTAATTTGACCCTCATCTAGACTTAAATGTTCATTACTAACACAATAATTTTCAAATGCCAAAATTAGTCGAACGAACCCATCCAAATTCAACTATACTATATTTCTTTATCAACATAGATAATAGTACGCATTATCATGCATATGACTTTAAAATTACAAGCATGACAAGATAGACTCATCCACAGATATGGCGATTTCAAGATTTTTGGCATGACATCTATTTCGCCTTTTTGGTAAGACATCAAAGTTAAACACCAATCAAACACATAAATACATAATAGAGTGTTTATGGTTTAAAGCTAAATCAGAGGAAAATAAAAATAACACAGCACAAGAGGATGATTGCATGCTGAAACAATAAAGGATACATAATGAAAATGTATTAAATTATCTACATGTCCAATTTTATTATCTAATTAATCTTTTCACACCCCCACTAACAGCTACATTAATTTCGGAGCACAAGAAAAGCCTTTCCATGTCAGCTGTGTTGCAGATTAACACAGTAGTGGTATACTGGAAATATGTGTTAATTGACAAGAAAATATAAGCACCCCAAGAATTATATGAAGCATCCAAAAATAGAAAGAGGGATAATCAAAGTGATGTCAAAAGAGAATAAATAGGTACTTCTATGATGCCAACAAGCAGACCTAAAAACTTCAGTATGAAATTCAAGTTAGGCACAAGATGCATACCAATGTATATGGATCATTCACCATCTGCGTGGAACTTCGGCGATAACGGTCCTTCCTGGGGATGATGGTACCTGCTCTTTGGAAAGCTGGAACGCCATCATCAGACACTTCCAATTTATGGATCACACCTCCCTTGTATGCGGCTCCTGTTCTCATATCATACCAGTATTGATCTCCAGGAAGATACACTGATTCATGCTTAGTTTGCTGGTTAGAGAACATAAAGAGGCATTATGATACTAATCACAAGACAAAAACATAGAAGGAGATAAAGAATGAAAACAGAAGATCACTATAGTGAAGTAACAAAAACAAACCTCAGTGTACACTCCTTGCACCAAAATACTGTTGCCAACCATAAATGCCTCATCATTGTTGAAGGTAGCTTCATCAGAAGGGAATTCCATCCACAGAGGACGCATAACTGGAGCACCTGTTGTGTTTGACTCTCTAAATAATGTGTAAAAATATGGGAGCAACATATAACGAATACGAATTGCATCCCTCATGCGTTCTGTGTTACGCTCTCTGCAATAAAGAGAAAATTTTCAAGGGCTTGCTCAGAGAGACTTAGAAGCAACAATAAGTAGATATCAGACAATTTTAACGAATAGAATGTTCAAAATTCCTCTTGAGTACTCATTAAACAAGAATAATAAGAGCAAGTATTGTTAGTCCCATTCCAAGTTCCATAGCAGACTATAAATAGTATATGCATGTACATCCTTCAAATTAATGGTAAAAAATCCTTAATACTTAAGCGGATTATAACCAAAGCCAACAACAATCATGTGCTCTTCTCATATACTTCCTCTATCATACAAATATTGCAAAATGTAGAGCTTCATGCTTTTTAAGGCACCAATTTAACCATTAATGTTATTTATTACATAAGAATAAATTATGAAAAGCTGATATTTTGAAAGTAGTATCCAAATGAATCTTACGATATGCCAATTAACTATGTTTTTCCTAACATACAAATCATAATGGATGGTCAAAGGGGAGTTTGTAAAAGTCTAGATGTTTGCAATATCAATGGAACAAAGTAAGAATGAGAAACGAAATAACAGAATCCTTGTATTAATTATTTACACTCCAGTAAAATCTTCAGATTGATTCCCCCCTCCAACCCTGATGGTTTAGAATTGGAATCTTGAATCCATTGATAAACACCAGAATTTCACTCTTCCTAACAAGTGCATTTTCTAGATTTCTTACTCCATTATAAAGGTGAATTTAAACATGCAACAACCATTTGCTACTTCACCCTAAATAATCAGTGTTATCAGATTGACAAACATTACAGGATGGATACGAGTAAAATAAGTTATATTCCCATCCCCTTCCCCTTGACAATTATGGCTACAACACCATCCACAACCCCAACACTAATGGATCACTACTAGCTATTACTGTCTACTACCACCATTTTCTAGTGAAAGTACATCTTGCCAGAGGCAGCCAAAGCCACCTCTCACAAATAACCCACATAATAAAAATAAAAATAAAATTAAAAAACCCCGCCTAGGCTATTGATGCATCATAACTTTATAAGAAAGTAATGACCTTTGGCAGATAGAAATATCAAAGAACACAATACGATCACTTCATCAACTCATACATGGAGGGTTTGAATGAAAGTAGAGCCTTGACAGTAAGTATACCAAAGTCCAAATTATTATATAAACAAACAAACATGACATCAACGGGAAAAATTAAGTGAAAAGATTTAACAAATCAATAATATAATATCCTAACAAATTCAGGCGATTAATAATAGTTTCAAAGGACACATGTTCATGAAATTTTCAATAAGATTAGTTTTCCTTTACTGTGAAAGCCCTAAGGATAAAGATACTTTTAGAATGAAACCAAAATTTATAAAATAATCAAGATGGAGAATGAAGAAGACAGTAACAAACGATTACAACAACAGCAACCAAGAACCAGCAACAAGATGATGTGATTTATTGATATGTTTTTGAACAATAATCATGTTAAAAATTAACCAACATTTATCAGGTTGAAAATTTAATCTTCTCTGAACTTTTCTGATTTTATACAAACTTTTCTGTGACAAGAAAAGAGATATTGTAGAAGATAGAACCTAAGAACCATTTTTTAATAAGGTCCTATCAACAAACAAACAAAGTGCTCAATATAGGCATATAGATGTATTACTACAAAGTAATCCAGACAGAGTGGTACCATCACATATTGAACAATAGTGGGCTCTATATAAAACATGAAATCTTGGACAACACTTTGAGGGACCAACAGAAAAATATTTACCCAAACAACCACGGTTCCCTTCTTTTTGTGTCATGATGAGCATGCCCACGGAAGAAAGGATAGTAAGCACCCAATTGATACCAGCGCACCAGCAACTCAGGTTCAGGGTTACCAAAGAACCCACCAATATCAGCACCTATAAAAAAAGATTTTTAACTGAGAGAAACTGTATATGATTAAAATGTGTCTTTTGAGATGAAAGGACCCTAGATTACCAGAAAAAGTTATTCCTGTCAGTCCCATGGCCAAAACCATCGGAACTGAAACCCTTAGTTGCTCCCATTCAGCTGTATTATCTCCAGTCCAAACAGCTCCGTATCTTTGACTGCCAGCAAAGAATGCTCTTGACAATACAAAGGGTCTATCCTTCCCCTCACCTCGCTTCACAAGTCCACCAGCTGTGCCCATGTGGAAATAATAGCCGTATGAATTATGCAGCTCCCTGTGTTCAACACCTCCAACATGCAGTGCATCTCTAGGCATTGTAACCTGGTTGTTTCATCAAATAAAATGAAAATTTTAAATCCACAACCGAACTATTATGAAAGATCATACATGTCATATCAAGGCATCATGCTGCCTCAAAGGAACACCCAGAGGGAGAAAACCAAATCCAGATATAATGTCACATATTCTACAGAGCAACATTAATTATTCATTTAAAGCCATAATACCACGATTGCTTGTTCAAAGAAGAAATAAAGAAGAATTTTTCAAGAATTTAAGGCCGAAATCAAACAAGTAAAGGCCATATCCTAATTCATGATTATAATTACAGTTACAAAGACAAGATCCACACAGAACTTCAATTCAAAAAAACAAAAAAAAACAAATAAAATAAAAAGATGCAAGCAACAATTCGTAGCAAGAAAATGTGATTGCAAGAAGGTTTAAATAGGAAGAGGCAGTGAGAGGAATATCTACCAAAATACCAGTTATCTAATCTACATATAACTGATATAAGTATATAACCAATAACTAACAACTCAAACCAATAGTGCCAAGCCGCCAAGTGTATACTACTCGTTTTATAATTCATTTTTTTTAAAAAAAAATAAAAAAATACAGGTATATATGTACTGTTTGTCCACAAAGCAAGTGTATTTAATGAGTTTCTTTAAGATTCCCCATAATTTAAAATCTTTTACAAGCATATATCAACATTCACCCCTTCCTCTCCCGAACTCTTCATATTCTCATAAGAAAAGTACACCCACCATTCCTTAATTTTGTCCCACTTGGCTTTTTGCAAGTTTTCAATGCCTATCTTTGAGAAACACAATTAGATGTAATTAAAATTATAGATTAATTTTTTGACACTAAACATCTAGAACAATCTAATAAAATCCCACTGGTTTTTCTCTATCATGTATCGCTGAATAATCATAGTCAAAGCTTCTTTCTCTTCATGCAAAAAATTCCAAATGGGACAAACAGAAATATTGGGGATGAATTTTTTTTTTTTTTTTTTTTAAGAAAAACTTTTTTTTTCCTTAATTCTACTTCTGAAAACCCACACACGGGTTAAAAGGCTAGTTGGGTTAAAAAAATTGACCTAATCTAGCATAGTCATGTCCCACCACAACAAGGGTTTCAATTTTGGTTTTAAAAAAACAAACATTTGTTAAGGGGAAAACTTTATCTTTGAATTAAAAAAATAGCAATAAGAATCACTCAAATGGAAATCACTAAAACAATTTTAATTCCTTTGACTCGTGATAAAATAGCTTGGAAGCATTTAGCTAGCTTACCAGCATGTCCCTTCATTAATAATCTAATACTATTACCTTCCCTCCTTACTTCTTTTCAAAAGTATAACAATAAAAACCCTCCCTCAAACTTATCATTCTATGATGAGTCATTATTTCATATGCTATGGCCTATGGTGTTCAATTAAGATCTGTTGAGTATCATGATTTTTATTAATTAATTCTCATTCTCAGCACCATTTCCATCTCATCAAACAAACATGGGAATCTAAACTCACAATATTCTATATTTCTATCCCCAATCCCATCCTCATATTTCCCCTCAACATCATAAATAAACCTCTACAAGATTCAAATAACACGCATATAAAAACTCAATAACACGACACGTTAAAGAAGTTAAAAAGTATACTATTACAAGAGGATGAATTAAACAAAAAGATACCTCAGGTCCATTGAACACGGATGGCTCATTCATGTCATTCCAAATATATAATGAGGGTGTTGATCCAACATAGTTCTTGTAGGAGAATTTTTCTGCCCACCATTCCCTAACCTCTGGACTCAACATATCCAGGTATGAGGAGGAACCAGGCCAGCACCACCCATCATAATCCTTCCCAGTTGCATCCTTAACATAATGCCCTTTCTCTGAGGCTTCTTTGTGAATATAGTAGGATTCGTCCCGCTTTATGTGTGGGTCAACAATAGTAACCATCCGCCTCCCCTTGCCAGCCAACTTGTTCTGCATCTCTTCTGGATTCGGAAAAAGCATCCTATCCCACGTAAAGTACTTCTTTCCATCAGTATGTTCAATATCAAGCCATAAAACATCATATGGAATATCATACTCATCAAACTTTGAATCAACATGATAAACATCCTCCTCATCCCTATAGTTCCACCTACATTGGTGATAAGCTGTAGCAAAATGCTGCGGCATTGCAGGCATCCCCGTAACAGACACATACTGCCTAACTACATCTTTCGGCCCAGGACCCACAAAGAAAAATGCATCAATAATACCAGCCTCACTCATCCACAATGTATCAATCCTCTTCTGCTCTGAGGGCAACGAAAGCCTGGATTCCCCAGCATCCCAACCGTCCCCAAGAACATCAATCTGCATTTCAGCAGCATTCAACCAAAAGAAACCAGAAGTTCCCCGGGCCTTACCATGAGCAAGCATGAACGGTATTGATCCATACAACCCAAAAGGCGACTCATGAAGATACTCAAACACATCCAAATTGAAAAGCCTATAAGGTTCAGAAAATTCAATACCGGGGCCTCTAGTAGGCTTAAGTGCAAGACTAGTAGCATGTTCAGGAATACCATAAACAAAATCAGCATCATAAAATGAAACATCAAAACTAATAGATTGAGGACCATAAGGTCTTGTATCAGTATGACTCCTAAAATTTTCTTCCCAATTATCCCCCTCATTTTTTTTCACCCTCAATTGCTCAAAATCAAACAACCCGTGCGAATTAATAGAAATTACACGGTTACCTCCATTTTTGTCTCTCACAAAGACCTCGAACGGGTCCCTTCGAAGAATGGCTTCATACCCATCAGCCAAATAAACAACAATTGAAGAAACCCCAGAATCTCCATCAATTTTCTCCTCAGAATACCGCTGTAACCAGAGCTTTTTCTCCAGAAAATCACTCTCAATCACACTCGGAACTTCAAAACGCTTCTTGGGAGGGTTTAGGGTTTGATCTTCATCAATCTTAACCCTCAAAACCCCATCTTGGTAAGCTGAAAACCTCAAAATCAAGGGTTTTTGGACAAGATCTTCAACCCCATTTTCCTGATTCGAAGAATCTGTGGAATTATGATCAATTTGAGGTGGGTTTTTAGGGATTAACTTAGCGACGAGATCGCCATCAGAAATTTTCACATCAACAGCGATTAGAGAACAGGAGTTGGGTTTTCGAGAACGAGCTCGATTGCAAAATGGGGTTTGATTGCAATTGCGAAATTCATCCTTTTTCCAGGAGGAAACAGAGGTGAAAATGAGAAAGAAAGAGAGGAGGAAGAAGAAGAAGAGTGAAGTGAGGTGGGGTTTGAAGGATTTCATAGTTTAAAATTCTGGGTAAGTGTTAGATTGAGTCCAGAAATTCATTCATAATTCAAAGGTTTAAGTGATTGAAGGGGAAGAGGTGAGGACTGAGGAAAGAAATTCACTGAATGTCATTCGACTTTTCAAAATTCACCAAATGTCATCGAGTTTTAACAAAATTCATCGAGTGTCATTAATGACTGACAGTCGTTAGTGGACCTCACCACTTGTCAAGTGTCACTTTCTGATTGGTCCGTTTTTTAAAAAAAAATTAAATAAAAAGAAATTACAAAAATTCCAAACTAAAAAAAAAAAATGGAACTCATCATAGGTGGCCCCCTGCCCACCCCAAAACCCTAGCCACCACCACCTCCTGCCGTCAAGCCCCCTGCCCACCCCAAAACCCTAGCCACCACCACCCCCTGCCGTCGTCCCTCCATTAAAGCGCACTTCATTTTCTCCGTTGAAGCGAAATCTTCTACAAGATTCTTCTTAGCTAGTTAGCTGGGATTATTTTTGTCTTCCTCAACATTCTCAAACAACTCACCCCATTTCTCCTCTTTTTTTTTTTTTTAATTCTTAATTTCTTAGGCACAATGTTGAAAATATATTTTCAAGCTATTTGGGTTTTGTGAAAATTAGAATTCTAAGGGATTAAAATTTCAGTTCATATTAGGATCAATTGTTAAAATTTCGACCATTGAAACCTAAATTCTCAGCTTGTTGTTTTATTCACCCCAATATCAAATTGAAACCGAGAAAATTGAGTGATAAGAATTGGAGTGAGAAAATTGGGTTGCTGAATTGCCCAGATGAAGAAACCGAGAGAAAGAGGCGAGTGTTGTTCGAACAATTTGATTTGAATTGTTCGGGGAGGTGGAGGAAGGGGGGTGGGGTTTTGGATTTTGTGTTTAAAGCTCCGGTGGGTCGCGACTGGGGAAGAGGAGGGGGGCCGGCTGCAGTGCAGAGGAAGCAAGGGTTGATTGCGGTGGATTGGATGTGCTGGTGTTGCGGGCTTATTGCGGTGGTATCAAGGGTTTAGGCTAGGGTGGGTGGCGCGACAAGGGAAGAGGATGGGAAAGGGAAGGAGGCCGGCGGCCACCGGCACGCCGATGTAGGTGGGCTGGTGGCTGCCGAGGTGGTGGCTGGGGTTTGAGGTTTGGGGTTTTTTTTTATTATTATTTTTTTAATATTTTTGGTTTGTTTTTGGAATTTTTTTATTTAATTTTTTTTTAATAAAAATGACCAATCATAAAGTGACACGTGGCAAGTGGTGGGGTCCACTAACGGTCAACTGTAACACCCCCAAATCTCCCTCTACGGAATATATAGAAAATACGTATAAATACTGTAGAGATAGACTTGGGCGTATTACCGCCGCATGATAACGCAAGGCTTATACTTTAAAAATACTTTTGCAGCGGAAAATTCTTTATTCTTATTAATAAAACTTTAAATAAACTTGTTCATAATTTTTGACACAAAACAAAGTCAAACTTTTCCTAAGCTAGGTGAAATTACCGTGGACTCCCGTAGGCATCAATTAACTTCCACCTGAAAAGTTCACCGGCTTACCATAAATGGTAAACAGGGCAAAGCCAAAACAAAAGTACGTATTAGCAAATTATGCTAAGTAGATTATGTGTAAGATAAGTAAAACATAATTTAAATCATTTAGGTTTAATTCAAAGAATTCCAATGCCATACTCATGTAAGAGCTTTTCCAATTAAATGCTTTCAAGACAAGTTTAAAACTCAATCGATTACGTTCCAAAACCAATTTCTCACTAAGTGTGCACACCCCCCAAGTGGTTTACTTTATGAACAAAGGCCAATCTTGAGGAAAGACTAGATCATGCAAAGTCCATAGTCTTCTCTAATCCATTCCCTAAGTGGGATTCATAACCATATCGATTGATTTACTTAAAAGCACATTTTAAAAATCCATCATTCTTGAATATTAAGAAACCTGTAAATCAATTTTAATCCAATCCTTTTTAATAATTTTAATCATAATTCAAAGTCTATTTTGATTAACCAAAAATCATTAATTCAAACCATCATGAAACATAATTTTATAAGGAACATAATAAGATACAATTTCATGGACAACTTTCGTAGGTATCAAACCACATAACGTACCTTAATTCCGAATATCAATCAACACTTCGCACTTTCAAAGTTCAATCATGAATACACCTTGCAATTAACATAACCATACGGTTATCACAACATCTTTAGACATAAACCCAAATCTAATGTGCATGGACTATAAAACTCTTTTAAAAATAATACTTTAATATAAAATTATAACTGTGAAATAGGTAATTATATTTTAGAAAACTAACCATGAAAATAAAGGAATAAGATTAAAGGAAATTGAATTTACGTCAGAAAGGATAGGCAGAACTTGTAGAGATCATAACTCCTTTGATATAACTCTGAATTGGGTGATTCTTGAACCTAAACTCAAGGATTTTTAAAGAGGAATAATTTTTTGTGAAATAAAAAAATCCAAAAACTGACCAGAAGTTCCCAAAAATTGGCTCCAAAGATATACGGGCAGATTTTCTTATAGAAAAGAGGAAAAGAAAAATAGGAAAAGTTTGAGGGAAAAGAAGAGTAAAAGAAAATAAGGGAATTGAGTTTTTTGGTGTGAATAATATGAGAGGTATGAGGGGGTATTTATAGGTGTTTAGGTGATGAGTTTATAGCAATTTAGGGTTGTATAATTTTTGGAAATTTTAAAGAATAGAAATTAGGGTTTTTAATATATGGAAGGATATTAGATTTTATTTGATCATGAAATTTTGTTTAGTAGGTTTTGAGCTTGGAGTGCAAGTATAGAATAAGATTAAATAAATTTTAGATTTAAGAGTAGAAATAAGGAATTTTAAAGGATTTTTATTTTTAATAAAATAAATTAAAATCATTTAGAAAATTCATGAGTGGCCGAAAATATTGAGCTTAATATTGCTCAATAATTTCGGTCCCTCTATGTTAATTTATGAATTTTGTAAAATAATTTATTTGCCTAAAATTAATAATCCAATAAAATTTATTTTGTGAAAATTAATACTTGAAAGAATAAAATCAGATTTTTATTTTATAATTGGGGTGGCCGAAAATTTGACTTATAATAATTAATTAAATCATATTTTTATTATATAAAATCTGAAAATTAATTTTTTAAAAATATATTTCATGAAAATAATTAATTTGGAAAGATATTAAAACAATTTAGATTTTTATACTATGAAAACATAAAATACAATTTAATTAATCTACCGAATTAATATAATTTTGGTTTAGCTATTTAATTTTGAGAAATCAAAAATACTATTTATAACATAAGTATAAAATAGTTTCATTTATTGGACTATCCAATTTAATTAGTTTTGTAAAATAATGATTTAGGCGCCAAAATTAAATATCATTTTGGCTCCAAAATTAAAATACTCTTTAGGAAAATAATTAATTTAGATAATACGTCAAAAATACGAGGCTAAAATACTCTTTAATTTAGAAAATACCTTTCAAAAATACGGGGTATTACATCAACTAACGGCTGTCAGTCTTTAATGGCACTCGGTGAATTTTGCTAAAACTCGGTCGTTTGGCATTTGGTGAATTTTGCAATTGCTCAGTGGCATTTGGTGAAATAGCCGTTTTTTTTTTTTTGTTAATTTGGACAAAGAGAATTTCGAGTAATACAAATTGTTGATTAAGGCAGACTTAGGTTAAGTTATTGTAAGATGGGTTATCTTTATCTAGTATAACAGTTACGAATTACGAGTACCATTTTTCTAACATAAATTTTACTCTTAGAAAAAAAAACTTATTTCGTATTAGATTAATTATTTAAACTTTATAATATGTATTAATTAGAAAATAAACATTAAAATAAATTAAACCGATCACAAATTAAAAGTTACCCTTAAAGAGGTTAAAGTTACCCGCAGATTGACCGTCTTTCAATAAAATTTACGTAATTCCGCCTTATACAAGACTTATTGGCAACTACAAAGTCCGAAGAAAACAAACAGAACGGAAATACCTACAACAAACCAAACTAACAAAGCCACTAAACATATAGCAATAAAGACCTATGGTAATCAAAATTCTTGGGGACCTTCGTGACACTGGTGAATTTAGTAAAAGATTTCGATGCAACAACACAATTTATTTGACAAGGTTATAAAGACTAATAAAAAAAGCAAAAATGATAGCGCCTTAGTGGACGAACTTTAGTATAAAATAGAGTTGAAATTTTGATGGAAAAAGTGAAGAAAGGATCTGCAATTGGCAAAGGATTACAAAACACAAGTGGACGAGACTTAGAGCTCGCAATACAATGAATAATCCTAAAGGTCGAAAGCCAAAGAAGAATGAGTCAATGAAGGTCACTTGACCTTTTGACATAATACCCTTATTGTTGGTATCCTCGACCTCCCCTCAAAAGGAGAATACACAACTCATTTAAGGGCTCTCAAATTACCTCCTTCAGATATTAGATAAACAACGCATAGGCATCAACAACCAATGCTAAGCGTAACAAAAGACCTTTATCTTTCTAAAACAGAGATTGCAACCCCTGACCAAATAGATCTAACAATCCCTTACAAGTTTCTTCATAATTCACTCCAACATACTTATTAATAATAATAATAATAATAATAATAATAATAATAATAATAATAATAATAATGTTCGACTTATTTATAATTCACTATAAGTTAGCGTACTTATTTTTATATAAACTAAAAAACTATAGTGTCGGAGTCTAAGTAGCATATAAACTAAAAAACTATAATGTCGGAGTCTAGGTAACACCGCCATCACCCTTGTCTGGGTCATCTTCCGGCTTTCGATAGGGAGGTGGACCGACTAAACAAGTAGAGAGGTATTTGTGGCCAAATTCGAACTAGCTCTTCAACATCTTCGCCATGAAAGCCTTATTGGCTCGTGCATCATCTTCCTGCTCCTTAAATGCCTCTTACAACTATATATGAATTAAACCACGCCTGCATAGTTTATAAGAATAATGTTCGAGTTATGTAGGCCCACCTAACAATCCTTTCAATAGAAGTTGACAAGTGGTGGTTAAAGCATACCCCCATTAAAAAAGTTTCATTTTCTTTTGGTGGTCAAATAAAAAAGAAGAGTCATTTTAATATCCCAACTTTGGTCGATTTTCTTTAAAGAATTTCAATTTTCGATTATTCTAAGATAATTCCAACTTTCACTTAATTGCGTATTTTGTAATTAGGCCCAATCAATCATCAACTTATTCTAACATGTAAATTGGACACGCGCCAACATGTGATTGGTCCAAAAAAATCAAAAAAAAAGGAAAAAAAAACCCCTTCCCTAGTCATCCCTTCACCCTTGCCACCACTCTTACTCCACGTTATTTCTGATCCCTTTGGAGCTTTTCATGCTGCGCCACTGCACCCCCTCCTCATCTTCCTCCTCATTGAAATCTTGGTTGGAGCGGCTTGTGAGCTTTTTATCCCCTCCAT